TCCTCCTCCTCTCTCTCTCTCTCTCTCTCTCTCTCTCTCTCTCGCTTCTGATTCATGCGGTGGCCTTTCAATATAAAAAAGAAGAAAGATAAAGAAAAGAATCGAGCGCATCTTCTGGGTTTTTGGGTATCACCTCACCTCATGTGTAGAAAGCTTCGACATCATTGATCTAAACTAATGCCACAATCAATATTCGTTGACCGTAAGATCTCCTACAGATGCTTTGATTCCCCGGGCATCGCTCGATCCGGTTGGAGAACGTGTCTCGAGTCCCTAAAGAATTTTACGGTATCCATCTTGGCAATTATCATATACGCCGAGATCTACTCGTCTCGAAGCGTTTTCTTTGTCTCTATTCCAACATCTGAGAACGTGTCTCTTTGTCTGATCAAGTCTACTCTCCTTGTTGTACTTGCTGATTGCTGCAGGGTCACTCGGACAGCTGCTGCTAGAGATACATTGCATGCCAGGGAAGAAAGCCTCACTCGAATAAAACTCGCAACTGTGTGCTTGACTGAGTGGATCCAAATTGATGGTAACTCTGCAAGTGCCGACTGTCTTCGCTGCCTTCTTCTTATACCACAACCAAATTAAGGACGCTATTTCGATTTGTGTGATGCAGAAATATCCTCTTTTTTTGAATAGGGAAGGGAAATTCCTGTTTCCACTGTGTAGTGCAAGTACAATGTGCAGAAATCTTGAAGACTTGGGAACATGAAGTTGCCGGTGATCCCATCGCCAATTGAGCTTTTACTACCTACGGGGATAGCGGAGTCCAATTAGTACGCTGTGGAATCCAATCGACGATCTCTTTTTTCTTGGCCGGTTCGCACATCATCTCATTCGAGCCCAAAGAAGGTGTGCCAACACAAGAGTTAGGTGGACGATTACACAGGAAATAGTGGAGGTGGTGGGATCTGCCGCGATTCCATAATTGGTAGGAGGAGGGTAATCGCCTTCTTCTTTTATCATTAAAACCATTTCTTATTGTCATCCGTAGAGGGAAGGCTTTGGAGGTTTGGGTGGGGCGTAGCTATCAATTTATGGAGTCAGCAAGCAGTGACTCGTGCAAGTTGTATTCGGCCTGTCGGCGACCGCCTTGTCGTCTTCTTTTCAGGCTTGTAGTCGACTGTGCCAGTCTACACCATCGCTGGATTGCATCGGTGACACAGAGGGGGCGTCCGAAAAAGTTGTAAGGAGAAGATCTAGATCCGTTGAGGAGTTCATATGTCAGCTTGATCACCGATAAATATTATGCCTCGTTATTGATATAGGCATGTGATATGATATATTTTTAGTATCGTTCACGTGAACCCATGCAAATAGATACGACGATGCAGATGTGGAACTTCAAGTCCGATGTGGCGCATAGCACACACGTGGTGGGCAACCACTTGTCGTCCCCTCCGTACGAACGACATCATCACGGTATAATCGTCTCGAAAAGCTCGGGGCGACGTTGTGCGACGCCAATCCGTAGTTAATTGATCATATACGGCCAACTCATCCTCGCAGATATAAAAGTTAACCCTCCTTGATCATGAGAGAGGACATTCAACTTCCCTTAACTTTACAACGCTGACTTGAATTTCGGAGGGGTCGAGTTGGGAAATTCTCCTCCCGAGCTCAACCTTTGTGCAGGAACTGGCAACGAAGTAGCAGCAACCCGCCTCAGGAGAACTATGCTCGGGAGATGACGCTTGGACCTAACCCGACCCGATGTCGACATGACTCGAGCATTCACATAGATAATCTTACGTATCTGAGACTGGATCGAACCGTACTGACAACTCAATCACGACGTAATGATTCACCAACAACATACTAAATATTCGGTGCCATTTTGTCCTGCAGCAAGACTAATTTTCACCACCACGTTATCTATTGACAGCCCACGTACCAATATAGTTGTCAACGACGACTTGCAACGAGGGGCATATTAGAGAGAGAGAGAGATTTGAATTCGAGTTTCGCTCAAGTGAGTCCACCACCAGCGTAGAGCATTCGTTCAGGCTGCAGAATACGCGTGTCATGTCCTGCAGAGGAATCTTGTTGGCTATTGGCCAAAAGGAAAGAGGACACACAAGAAGAAGCACATTAATTGCAAGACACGAGGTGAGGTACCCTGTGACGACTGGCTTCATCTTTGGAGTCGAGTTGGAGGAGCGGCATATGCGCGGATGCCAAAGCTCCAACCGCATGGTCAATTGATTCCACGGATCACATGGCTCGTTAAAAGGCTTGTGGCCATCGGCAGTCCACGGGGGCTGGATCGGGTTCCATTTCATTGCTGATCCAATAAGGGGTAAACGGTGACTACCCAAAAATAATCCCAAGATTGCGAAGCACGAGTAACACGAATCTTGAGATAACATGAGCGACAAACAAAGAATAATTCTCATATGCTTAATGGACTTCTCATCCTAAACTTTCAGCTAATATTTTCCTGGTCGTCTATGCTCTGCGATGCACTTTTGTTCCAGGAGGAAGGGTGCTGCTTCACACGCACCGGCTAAAACTATTTCACACGAAATCGACTCTTTATTCTTAGTCCGAACGCAGAAGCACGCAACGCAACATGCCTACCCTTGCAGATTGCGTGCACGCAGAAGCGCACAACGTAAGAAGGCATCATCATGCCTAATCAACTTTTGAGTCTCGACAAACTGACCTGCCGTGTAATGCTCGCCCGCTGGAACTGATGATGCAGACATCGACGACGACTTCCGAGTATCGAGTAGGCCGACCTCGATAAAGATCGACCAAAGCTGCCTGTCTCAACTTCTTGGGCAATCTTAATTAAATGTAGAAAAAAGAAGAAGATAATAATATTAAGAAGAGGAGGCACAAAAAAGCAACAAAAGAAATCAACCAATTTTAACTATTAGTTGGCTCTCCAATAGCAATAGGGGGCAATTAATGAACAGTGAAGGCGATGTTGCAAACATAGCTATTGCGTCATCCTCTAGTAAACAAGTGTCAACCTAGGAAATAACCATATTCCCAACAAAGACTGTCAAATCTTGGAGGATAAGTAGATCAACAGTATATCAATTTCACTGACGAAGATATGTGGAAGCCCTTAGCCCCCTGGCACAGATCAATCCTTGGACAAATTGCTGCTTCCGGGACCCTTTTTCGCTCCATATTTCTGATTCGAAACAAATTAGACCAGGTTAATTGTCAAACAACAATAGCAAACTAAATAAGTCTGTCATATTTAAGCTAAAGCACACTGCATAGTTTGGATGCAGTCAGATAATCCCTCAAATAAAACACCCACGACCTGTTTTTCATGCTACCTGCGAGGCCCAAGTGCTTATTCATCTCAAACGACACAGCAGAGTTAATTCCCTTTTCCCTAATATTGGCACTAGATGCTTAAATCTCGGTCTTCGTGAGAGATTAACACTCCAGTTTTTTCACAATAGTGAAGCATTCATATGAATCAGCATAAAATTTCAATGGAACGCACCTGCTTTCCCATGTTGAATGGCACATACTTGTACTTGATCATGTGTACAATTTGGCGCTTCATTGTCAGGAAGAAAAGAACAACCCAGTAGCACAGTAGTATAGGCCAAAAAACAGGAACATCAAATACGGAGAAGAAAGTCATCACAAAAGCAACACAGAACGCTTTTGTTATGGAGTACCTGAGAAAAAAAAAAAGAAATAGAACTAATTAAGTTCACAATCTCCAACATATTCAAGTGAAATTTCATAATAAACAAAAAAGAATTGGATACAAACAGATATAACAGTTCATTAACACTTACAGTAGGAAAATACAAGATAATAAATTCTTTCTAAAGGGGGCAACAAGCAATCACTTTTTGGTCTTTATCATGGTTGCATGTATCCACAACTGCGTGTTGCTCGAGTAACCTGGATAAGAACTCCCACAACAAACCAGGCAGAAGTTTCCAGTAACCGCATGATATTTAGGGTTGAACAAGCTCAAGCTCTACTAACCAATGCACCGTTTTTTATATGGGGTAATCTTGGGGCAAAGGCTTGAAGGATGCCACTTTCGTCACAGTCTTAACCACCACTCTCCAACATGGGATCGTTAGCTTCTTCATCATCATCCTCTCACTGCGGTCATCTGGCTCACTAGCGACCCTCGATTCCCATCGACTATGTTGCTGCTTAGAGTCTAGAGAACCCTTCTCAACTGGCTGTCACCTCACCTCCTCCTCAAGGTGGCCTGATTGCACTCTGTGATTGTGTTGCCTAATTATCGCATCTAACAAATTACCAGACACCCTAACAACAGAAGTCTTCATATCAAGAAAGTCCAACAGGTATTCCTAGTCATACTTGCAGATTCTTTGGGCCGATAGAAAGAATGTGAAGCATATGACTGTTAACAGACAAATTTTTAAACCCACGTAGCATTCACGAATCCTTGGCAGATAACAATGAGACTATTCTAAAGATAATGACAATCTGAGAGCACTGGCTACATAACCAGTATCTGGCTACTCACTGATAAATAATTGTAATGAAAGAATTGCCATAAAAACATTGATAACCAACCCCTTCTCCAGAACACTGCCACAAACCATCAAAATGTACTTTCCTTTTTCCTTCTTTACACATTCCAATGAAAGATGAGTAGGTGAAATGTTTGCACCCATTCACACAAGAACTCCAATTTAAGTGTGTGACATCTAGATTTTAAAATGATACATAGAATCCTTTTGTGGCAAACAATTCTGTCAAGTTCCATCGACCAGACAGCTTACCATGAAATATGAGAATCTTATAGACATTCCAATGTTGCTATTAAGAAACCCGAGAGTAATTTTATCATACCATGATTTCAATTCACTCACCCTAGGACTGCATATATATTTCCGATGGCAATCAGCCATCGCTGCTTTTTCAAACATATAGCAATCATCTTCTTAGGTGATTTTATAGTATTCTTATGATAGAAAATTAGATAAATGAAATACCAATAGTCTATCCTAGTTTATGTTCATTTTATGAAGACCAATTTTTGACTTCCAATCAAGTGTTTGTTGGTCTGCGTGTCAACAGAAATTGACTCACCCGATTTTCCATCGGAATCACGTCAATTGATTGTCAGTCCTTCTTTTGGTAAGATTTTGAAATTTGAAGACTCATATTACTCTGTAGACGAGGATACTGGGTCTCCTAATCATATGTCTGTAGAATCATATCCTCCCAAGTTCTGCCCACATTGAGCTTTAGAGTTTAAACTGATTCTTGACTCAAGCAAGAAAACTTCTCCAAAACTGCAGCTCAAAATGAACAAAAAATAAATTGGATATAAACACTTCTCATGCAACTAACAAAATCTTAGGAATTGTGCCATCCAAGCATTTGAAATCACAAGCCCCAGAATATCACTTTTGTTTTCTTCTTTCTCTCTCATTGTAGACCCATCCACAACCCTCGTCTACTATTATCTCCTTATTTTTTAGGAAGGGGAGACACGAAAATGCAATTGATAAAATTAAAGCAAGATGATTGTACAGAAGGGCATCAAGAGTACTTGATATCATCATATTTTCTTTAATTATAAGTAAAGTTCTACAAGAAAAGAAGCTGTGAGGTTAACTATGTTTTACAAATCAAGATAGTATTTATTGAAGATAAAACAAGTGAAACCATTTACGATAGACTTGACATGTTCACTTAATTTTTAAATGTGTTAATCCAAAGTTCAATATTAAATTACCTTAATCTTACTTTACTTTATCCTATAGCATATCTTACCAATCTAACTGATCCCATCATAATTATCCAAACATTGGTCAAGAAGTGCAAGATAATTTCAATATATGTGCATTGTCTTCTCAAAATATAAATTGATCATAATTATCCAAACATTTATCCTATAGAATATCTTACCAATATAACTGTTCCCATCATAATTATACAAACAGTGGTCAAGAAGTGCAAGCCAATTTGCATATCTAAATTTGTTCTCTCAAAATCTGTGCATTGTCCTCATAAATGAATTTTTTTACCTACTAAAGAAACATCGAGGTCAAGAAATGATGACTTTGCTAGAGCAATCAAAGCCTAAACGACTATTACTATGTAGACGTGACAAGAAATGATAGCATTTTCATCAAACCCGAGGGAGGATAAATGAGAATCAATAACAAAAAATCACCTAAGGTAGACCATTTATCTTGCAGAGTGATGATGAAATAACCAAGATGTCAGAGGCCCTAGTGACCCAAACGATTTTAACAGGGGAAAACGAAAGATCAATAAATTTCAAAAGAACAAGAAAAGACATCATAGGTTGCCCTGCATATCCAATTGCAGGTTTAAAGCTAAATTAAGATGCAGCAGTTTGTCTTCTTTTTTTCTTTTTTTTTCTTTTATGGGTTTCCTAGGCGTGTAATTGGGACTTGAGTAGCCTCAACTTGGAATGCAGCTCTATAAAATATTTCACAAGCTCGTCAAGCTACTGTCCTCTCCACAAAATCTAGGAACAGGCTATAAACATAAGTGCACCGATTTGACAAATCCATTTTCCATAAGAAAGCCCAAAGGAGGGTAATCAAATCGAGGGAAGTCAAGGGAAAGCGAAAAAGATCCCGGTTAAGCGAGAAAATAAGGCAAAAAAAAAAAAGGACACCGCCTCAATTTCAACGAGGAAGCAATAGCATGCCAAAATTTACCAGAACTTGAACTCAGGAAGACGGCGAACGAAGGGTCTGAACTCGTCGGAGCCCTTTGTAGGCAGGGCAGGACCATCAGAAACTTCGATCTCAGGATCCACCAACGGTGACAGGAACCCAATCAAGAGATTCAGGAGATAGATCCCAAGCCCGTAGGTGACGATATAAAAACCCTGCACAAAGTAAACACGCAGGGAATAGATCGCCGCGACTCCGACAGTACCGATCCATCTTCCGGTCGTGTGAGGAGTCGATTTATCCAAGTAGTACTGGAACGCCCTGGAGAAGTCGCTTCTCCATTTTGCCAGAGGAAACGAAGCAGCTGCACCATCGGCTTCCATCGAATTCCACCGCTCAAAATCCTCCTCGAAGAGATCGTTTCTGAGAAGAGAACAAACAGCAAGGTCAAGCTAACATGAAAGATTAGGGTTTCGAACAAAGAAAAAGAGAAGGAACTGCAACATCAAAGAATAGAAGCAAAGATATATTACCACAAGATCTGGTTTTTCTTCCAACCCTTGATGTGAAGGCGTTTCGAGATGAAGCAAGGGGTCGATTGGAAGCAAACAGGTCCGATTTGACCGGGGACTAGTCGACGTCGGAGAAGGAAGGCCTACGCGTCCTCAGGGATGGAAGCGCGGGGTGATCCGAGGAAGAACAAGACCGGGGAGGAGGAGATCGAGAATGGAATTTGGGCGCGGCGCTGGGATTTGGATCGAGGAATCGACCAAAGGAGAGGAGAGGCGAGGCGCGGCTTGGAAAGGCCCCGAGAGACGTGGGGTAAGTCGTCTTTCTTGTCGGTGCGCAAGTCAAGGAAGCGAATGGTTGTTGGTAAAAGCCTAACTTAGCACTTACTGAGTTGGCCCAGCGAGCCGGAACGAGTTCGGCTCGAGCCTGTCGCTTACGGTTTTCGCAATTAGTTGGCCCAGCGAGCCGGAACGAGTCCGGCTCGAGCCTGTAGCTTACGGTTTTCGCAATTATGGGCCGAGGCCCATAATCGAACCATGGCTGCAATTGAATCGACACGGATTACGTGGCCCTCATGTGGGCCACGAAGAACAAACCTTACCACGCCCATAATTTATGAAAAAGGCCGCCAAATGTTGCATCTTTAATGGTTATTTTCGGACATAATTGATTAGTATATCACAAGTGATAGCATGCGAGCGTCATGGTATGTGTGAAGATCTAAAGGAAGATATGGATTGCAGCCTGGATCACAAATTTTCCACAAACATTCAGCAGCTCAGGTAGATTGAAGGATACACACAATGGGCGGATGGCGTGCCAAATGAACATCCTTAGCATAGTCTAACTTCTGAAAGCATGATCCAATATTCTAATTGTCCAAAAGCTAGCTCTAATGCCAACCCAAAACCAAATTGCAAGGTATTCGTAAAGCACATGTTCCGTTTAACATTAAACATCATGATGCGTTCAAGCATGAGCCATGTAGAGATGAAATGTCGCAACTGCAAAAGTTACGACTGCTCTGTTTAAAATCTGTCCCGATCAAATATCCATTGGAGCAGCCTCTGAGCTCTTGTCCTCGTCGTCTTGTGCGGGAGCCTGATCTGCAGCAGCAGCAGCATCTTCTTTAATCTCCACTGAATCAATTACTTCCTGTATTATCTTCTGATCAATCACATGAAATGGCTCGTCGATTCCGACAATAGCAACTGTGCAGATGGAACTGGTCAACTTTTCTCCTTGCAGTGTCTCCCTGATGGCAAAAATTGCATCTTTGATCAGTTCATCACGGGAATAGTTGTTGAAAGCCTCAAATCTGCGCTCCATATAAGTTTTTGCAGCTTGGGAGCGGGATCCAATCGCAAATGCCTGGTACTCAAAATAGTTTCCACTGGGGCAGTTGTAGTAGAGGTGAGCTCCAGTTTCATCTAATCCAGCAACAAGCAGACCCACACCATAGGGCCTTTTCCAAGAACGCTGTGTACAGACCTGCAGTAGACATTACAAAAATGATGCCAAACTCTCGAATCAGTTTTCATAGAACTAATATGTATCTTATAGATTTTTAAGTCAACAACTATGTAGCCATGTGAGCTAAAACAGGAAACGGGCATCATAAAAGAAAATGTCCAGCTACATTTTCTATTGTCTATTCAATAAACAATCCAATAAACAAGAGCGATCAATTGTCAATTCTATAATAGGAGGTCAAGGCCACCAAATGCAGTGGAACATCACATATTTTGAGGATCATCAAGCCACATGATCTTTTCCTCTCTATTTTCTGCTTTTATCTGTCAAGGATTACCCTTTGGCTCACTTTCGCTTCCTTTTTCTATTGTTGTTTGATGAAACACACTACCCATTTTCGCAGTATATGTCCCATCATTGTTTGAAATTGGTCTTAGATCCTCGCTAATGTCAAAACAAACTGGAGTTGTAGTGGCTATCAAAATAAGAACAAATAGCCATATGTTCAGAACTGGACACAAAATGAAAAATACAGGTTTATAAATTGTTCAGAAATGTGAATCCCAGTTTTACAAGGTAAGATATCAAAATAATATACAGCAAGATCGAGGTATCTAAAGGAGGCAGAAGAATCTTGTCTGTAATGTACATACAATAATAATAATAAGTCAATTTAGAATCCAGTAACGAGGACATACATACTCACCACATGTTTAGCTTACTCTTGCCTAGCTTTATAATTTTCAGAATGCTTGCATTAATTTCTCTATTGCATGGATATTCAGAACCATCTAGTAGTGCCAGGACAAAATGAGTAATGGAGTAACAAGTGCTTTGGTTTTATACATTATATTGGATAAGGCTGTTAAAACAACAGCCATTCTTCTGCAGATAATTTGTTTCCTAGCTTTTCCTTTTTGCATCTATCCAGCTTCCAAGCATGAAGTAAACTTATCCACTGACCATCCCTCTTTCTATCCTTCCCAATGGTTAGACAAATCTTAAATGCCCCCTTATATTGTCCTCCGGTTCTACTTTCCATGGACCACTTCTGGTTGTTTGCAACCACAAAAATAACCCAAGGCTGGATATATACTAAACACTACACTCTTTTGATGGTACAAAAAACACTGCTATTCTAACCTGGCATAAATCCAAAGATCGATAAATGCAACCAAAACATAAGCATAAAGTTAAACAGGGAATGCAACTGTTCAGATCAATATGATGTGATTATGCTTCTAATCTTAACCAAAATACAAAATATGAGCAAGGAAACTCATCAACTTGCTGACTTTTTTTAGAACTTTTAAGTTCTAGTTTTTGTGAAACTTGGCAAGAGGTAATTTAAGAGCTATCTGAATCTAAGAGGGCGAGGATGATCAAAGTTTCACATAACTCAAAAACCATTGAGCGGTTGTAGATGGGTGCAAGTGCCATTCTTGCCCAGAATTCCAGCATAACATCACAGATATACATGAACAACAGCATCCCACATAAAAGATGTAACTGAAATTGCAGGGCAATAATTTGATGCATATAAAGAAAAAAAAAAAAGATGAACAAAGTAAAGTGCCACTTGCAAGCAAAAGGAAAAAAGATTGAGATGCTCATATAAATGCTGGAAAAAGCACCAACAATAAGAAAACGGTAAATTAGCAGGGTCATCCAACTTGTGAGATAGGGGGTCATCCAACCACAAGAAACTAATGATTCCGACATACAATTTGAATGTGCAGCAAACATGTCCCTGGTATAAAAAACATGCAATTCCAACTTAAAAAAGATGGCTACATGGAACCCAAAGGTAAGCACAAAGAATAACCAGGTGATGCACCTGTTAAGAACACGTGATGTGATTAATTCCTTCTAATGTTCACTTGAGATTTGTAATGTGACCAAGCAAACTTGTCAATTTTCTATCAAAGAGTTTGCATTAAGTGTTGACTGTATAAGGCATCAACTTCTGTAGTTATTTGAATCTAAGAAGAGTGAGGATGATAAAAGTTCCACAGAAATATAGAACCAATGAGGGGCGGCCGTGGGGGTACTGAGTGCCATATTGGCCTGGATACCACCGATCCATGACCACAAACATGAGAAAGAGCATGCCACATAATCGACAACTAATTACAGGCAGAAGAGATTAGCATGATCGTCATAAGAACGACAAGCACCCACCAAAAGAGTTGAAGAAAATAAGATCCTCCTGCTGCATTGTGTCCTAAACCCTAGTTATTCATTCCCCCAACCAACATAGTCATACATATAGTAGGGCAACCTAAGAGTTCTATTTACAGAAGAATCTGCTTTCTGAAAGACATATCTTATATAAAGAAATTCCAAAGAAGATGGATGGAGTTGATACATCGCGAATTTAATTGAACTCTGAAAACGCAAAGGGAAGGGAAGAGGGAGTGGAGGACCTGGGCCTTGTCGGCTAGGCGGACGACGAGGCGGGATACGGGGAGGGGAGACTCGTAGACGAAGGCGTGGTTGATGCACTCGTTGCGGAGGTAGCGGGAAAGAACACGACCGTCCGCGGTGAGACCGGCGATGGCCACGCCGATGTGGTCGTCAATCTTGAAGACCTTGCGCTGATGGGAGGAGAGGTCGGAGGCGGCCTTGTTGACGGTGGCGAGGACGACGTGGGAGGTGGAGCGAAGGCCGACGGCGGCGGCCCCCTGCTTGACGGCCTCCATGGCGTACTCCACCTGGAACAGACGCCCCGCCGGGCTCCATGTCGTCACGTCCGTGTCGTACTGGTTCCTAAACATGTCTTCGGCGTCTGTCTTCTCTTCTTCTCGAGATCCAAAGTCCAAAGAGTCGAGGGTGGGATTTCCCCTCTCTTAATTCTGCTGGCCGCTGGAGGGGTATTGCTTCTTCCCCAAGCCAAGACTTGGCCCAGCATGGTATATAGGGCTGGTTGGGTCAGAACCCATACAGTCCAAACTTGTGGAGGTCACAACCCATATTTCATTGAGCTTACTATTTAGGCCTTTTTCTTAATGTTTATACTATTAGCAGTCTCTAATTATTTTTAATTTCTTAAAAAAACTATAAGATAATAATTTACTATTTACAATCCCACTAATTCTGATTTTATTTTTTGCTTCCTTTCTCATAGTCCATTGTGATCATTGTCTTTGCACTTTATTGTCATCGCCACTTCCTAACCTGTATTTTTTATCGTCAATCGCGACTCTCAACCTAAGCTTCTTATTGTCAATATCGATACTTTCTAGTTTACACTCGCTACCACTAGTACTTTTTTAGTCCACTCCTTTTACTATTAATTAATACTCCTTAGCTCATACTCCATATCGCCTGATCTCACTCGTTGCCCCATCGACATTATCCTTTGAATAGGAGGAAGAAGAAGAAGAAGAAGAAGAGGAGGGGGAGGATGAAGAATGAAAATATTTATGTCTATTTATAAAAGGATAAATATTCTATTTTATTTCGTCCAACCATTTTTACCAAAATACCCTTAATATTTTATTTATTAATCGATATATTCTCCACCCTTCATGTTATATTATTCATTGACTTAATGAATGATTATAATTATTAAGTAGATCTCGATCGTCGGATTTAGTTGGGTCTCAAATACCATTTTATTCTTGGACAATCGATACTTTCAAAAAAAAATATACTGATACACCCAGAAAATATAAAAATCGAAGATTTTATCGAAAACCTAAGTTGATTGCATTTGCAATTTCTTAATTTGTTTGACCAAGAAAAATTCAATATATTTCGGTCATTGATATTCATTCGATCACATATTAAGACACATCATCATGATTTGGTGAATGTTTGTTCAAATTAGGACACTGCATCGATGCCTTGTGTTTGCATTAGCAAATGAAGTTGAGGTTCGTATTGGGTTTGAGTTGTTAAGCTTCTCAATGGATCGAGCCAAATGAGTATCGAGGCAAAAGTTTCTTCAATATCACTTTGATAAAAAGCACAATTGAAAAAGGTATAAAAATAAGGGAGTAGCAATAATCTCCTTTAGCCTCACTTGCGATGATTCCCTCTAAAACAAGAGTGTCCTCCTTACCAATGCCTAATGACCCTTCTCCCCCATCTCATGGGTTAGGTTCTTTAGATGTGCTCATGATGTTAATTCTTGGAGATTATATATTGCTTTGAAGACTAAACTCCAAATGATCACATTTCAATCTTCCTTATATGTAGAGCTCGGCATGACGGAGTTGTGGCCATTTCGAGACTCCTTGATCCTTGCCCTATACAAATAAGTTTTTAGGCAAAGCACCTCCCTCGAATTCCTTCTGTCTTTTCTCCTTAAGTTATAAGGTTTGCCTTCTAAAGCCCACACCAGTGAACTTCTCTTAATGGGTGATATTGCTGCGTCGCCTCCAGCCCATTAAAGCTGCTATCTCCTTCCAACTCTTTTTCCATCCGGATCAGGAAGGATTGTATGGAGATAGTCGATTTTGCTGATAGAATATGATAAAACATATTTTGGATCTCGATCATGTGGACCCAGACACACGATGATGCAGACGTGAAACTTTAAATCTGATGTGACGCATAGCACACACGTGGTAGACAGTCGCTCGTAGCCCCCCTATATGAACAACATCGGTATAGTTGTCTCGAAAAACTCGGGGCGACGTCGACTCGTGCAGGTTGGTCGACACTCACACAAAAACTTAAGCAGGCTACATGAGAAGTCGACCCTCTAACTCCCTCTAACTCCACTCAACATTGACTTGAACTTCGGATGGGTCGAGTTGGGAAATCCTCCTCCCGACCTCAACCCTTGTGCAGGAACCGACAATGAAATAACAGCAACCCACCGAGGAAGAACCGTGCTCGGGAGACAACATTTGGACCTAACCCGACCCAACATCGACGTGACTCGAACATCTACGTGAGCAACTCTACGTATCCGGGACTGAACCGAGCCGTGCTAACACCTCAACCACGAGGTAAAGGTTACCAACAGAATCGATCTCTCATAATCTTTGGTTTTTTTTTATAGTTTTTTATGAGTTTATTTTATGATAATTTTCCTCTTATGGATGAGCTCAAAGTTAACATTTCTCGCATACTCTGTTCCTCTAACATTGTAAGCCACTTGTTGGTCCGATCTCACTCTTCACGTTTCTTTTCCTCTTCGCTTTAATCCTGAAATCAATATAGCATTTTTTTTCTTTTTGTAAAAAATAATAACACCTGAAATTATATGCAACGCAGCTGAACGGTCATTACTGTAGATGGAGGATCAACACATCCTTAGCTGTTCTACTTGGGCCGGCATGTTTTAGGTTTCATCTTTCTCAAAGTTGACTTCCCTAGATTTAATATCTCTAAATCGGTGACATCATGATCGAAGAAGAACCCGGTTCCAACTACTGCTTGTTCCTCTCATCTAATCGGTGACATTATGATGGAGGAAGAACCCGATTCCGACCACTACTTTTTCCTCTCGAGTGCGTTTCACCATCGCCCTTACACTACCTTTGGTCGAAAGAAGAAGATTGCCGGTAATCTTATCCTTTCCGGGGTGACGAAAGAACACGATCTAAAGCATACTGATCGTCTCGCGAACCACATGTTGTGGCCATTTTGTCTAGCGACAGAGTTCTTATTGCAGGCGTGTCACACAAAAGCACCAGATTCTTGGACCATACTAATCGATCCTTCGGTGCTGCTTTAGCATCTCATCCGGTCGCGACCTCTACTGATCCCGCAAGTCATCGAAGGAAGACTTTTTGAACCGTCGACATTTATGGGTACATGATTCAGTCTCGAGAAAGCAACTCGGTGCATGCGTACCATACCTAACACTTTGCGAAGCTAAAGAGGATCTGAGCGAATACACACACACGCACGCCATGACGTACGTGATTGCTTTACAGTGGCTGACAGCAAGTCGGGATCAAAGTAAACTGGGTGGCTATGCGGGTGTTTGTGGATTGACTTTTGAATGCTTCCATTCCCTCTCTCTTCGACCGCCACGACATCCTCCACCCACCCCGGCCTTATTTTAGGAGGCTTTGTTTGCGGACTATTTGTGACGAGTTCGAGAGTTTGACGTCAAATGAGGATTGAAAATGAGCAGCTTCTTGTGTTCTTAGAGAATTATTGTTAGCTCCACCAACCATTGCCCATTCATTTGACTTCTCTTCTTCACCCAAGCCATTACGTAAAACATTTTAATTCGGCCTCACAGTTCCGTTTGATTGTGGACGATATGTCTTTTTTATTGCGTGCGAATCTGACTCAAGAATCGCCCATTTTATTCGTGGTTATGAATTATTCATTCAAGTGCCACTTTCAACTATAGCCTCATATCATTTTCTGCAATGGAAGACTCTTCTTGCCATGCCAGCGTTTGCAGGTTTCAGGTAAAGAAAGATGGCTCCTGTAGTGTAGCAATCTATTCGCACGATCTCTTGTTAGGTATTGACCAACTAAAGCTGCGAAGGAATCTAAAAAATGCACAAAAAATGAAGTAGCTAATCACGATGACGCAACATTACTACTGCCATCGTAAGTCGCATTCGAGTGATCCTAATCTCTACTAAATGACCAAATCATGTGATGAGGGTAAAAATGGCGACATAGTGCGTTATGACGTCAGCCATGCCTGGACGACAAACAGCCCGAGGAAGTGGGCATTAACGCCGACTTGATGTGCGCCAACGTCAACCGCTCCCAGACAGTGACTTCATCGTCTGACCCCGCGCACTCGGCCGAGGCAGAGGAGGACATCGACCGAGCCTCGCTCATACCCCGCGGTAGTTCGGTTCTCCACGCAACACCAACGGCAATGTCAGACGCCATCAGAGGTACGATCCTGCTCCTGCAGGCAGGCACATCAGGTAACATCAAACTCACCTATAAATACCCCAGAGTTCTAAACGAACAGGGGAGGACGAACACAAAAACCTTTATTCATCTGAAATCTTCTTCACATCCACTAATTTGATCGTCGGAGGGGTCGGGTCGAGCTCTCCCGACCCGACCTGTGTGCAGGTATAAGGACGGGGTCACTTTTTCCAGGCACCGCGGTAGAGTCGCCCTCCCCGAGACGAGACGTCCCGACTGAACCACCGTAACAGACCGCCGGGGCAATCCCGAAGAACGCCGTACAAAATCCCCGTCATTCGGACCTCCAACCAAGCCACGACGACCCCGAGGCCACGACATAAAGTTGTTTACACTAACATCATGCATAAAATGGTGTCATGTCATCAAGAGGGAACATAATTACGGATCGATGACCGTAAGTAATCTCTAGAAAATGACCGAATCGTGTATCTGAGTGCATCCGATCGGCGTGGTCTGGGAGAGCAGGCAAGCGCTGCTGCGTGGAAACGGAGGAGGCGCACCGAGTCAACGGCGTATGACTCGAGGGGAATGCCACGGTCACCCAAAACACATACCACGGGTTGACTGCAAGAAAATGACTCGAGTTTACGATTTGTTTCAGAGCTCAAGTCATCGATCGAGCCCATCTCACGATGCCACCAACCTCGTTACGCATCCTTGCCCATGTTTCACACGTTCACGCCACATCTTTTGATATTATATTTTTCTTCCTTTTTTTTTGTAATTCGCTTGACTGACTTGGCAAAATACGCAATCTTGCGTCGATGCATAGGTTGATGAATGGTCCGAGATAATTGCGAGCGGATCGTCCTCGGCGATAGCGGTGTCGTGTGTGCGAAGAAAATGTTGAAATCGATACAGTTGTTTCGGCGTTTTCTAACCAATCCTTGTTTCAGGGACGGACGGACGGACGGACGGCTACTTCAAAATACCACAGTACCAATAAATTCTTGCCTTCACCAATAATTTCCAAATAAGGGAATGAATGCGGTGAAGGAGATCGGTTGCCATTATTCAAACAATCCAATCCAATGGGAGTTGTTTTCCTTGATCCGCAGTTTGGTGGGTTCCCCGAAATTACCATGTCCGTAGACTGGACTCGGTCCTCCATGGCTGCTCGCCTGTTCCCGATAGGCTGCGGTCCGCGATTATGTTATTTGTGGCGGTTGTCCGCTTTAACTTGTCAGAATGGGTGGTTGGTAACATACGTCGGACAGCGTCTCACCAATCGCCAGAGGGCATCGTCAAACTCCCCATTTCCGACTGAATTATTGCAGGCTGACCGACCCGAAAAGGCTCCCTTGTTTCGTCCCACCACGTGAAGTCCATCTATATCAAGACGCCAAGTATGCGCCTTGCTTCGTCCCACCGTCGTTCACCACCTCTGCCGATATCCCTCGAGCGATCATTTGGTACATCGATTCCGACGGCAGAGGATGGACAGCTTCGACGCCTTCCCCAGACCGCAGAGCGCCGACGGTCCGGCCACCATCCTGGCCATCGGGACCGCCAATCCGGCGAACGTGATGGACCAGATGGAGTATGCCGATTACTACTTCCGAATCACCAACGCAGAGGACAAGACGGAACTCAAACGAAAGTTCAAGCGCATATGTAAGTACATGGAGCTGTTCCTCCTCCTCCTCCTCATCGATTCACGCTCTTCTGGCGTTTCTTTCGCACGTTATGTATATATGTGTGTGCAGTGGGTTTTGTGATGATATCTGAGAGGAAAAAACTGATCGTTTGTTGATTCGTTGCATGCGTACAGGTGAGAAGTCGACGATCAAGAAGCGTCACATGAGCCTGACGGAGGAGATCCTGAAGAAGAACCCGAGCCTGTGCGAGTACATGGCACCGTCCTTCGACGCCCGGCAGCTGATAGTGCTGGAGGAGGTGCCGAGGTTGGCGAAGGAGGCGGCCGCCAAGGCCATCAAGGAGTGGGGCCGCCCCACGTCGGACATCACCCACCTGGTCTTCTGCTCCGCCGCCGGGTTGGACATCCCTGGCGTCGACTACCGTCTCCTCCAGTTACTAGGCCTCCCTGTTTCTGTTCGCCGCGTGATGCTCTACAACGTGGGCTGCCACGCCGGCGGCACCGCACTCCGCGTGGCCAAGGACCTCGCCGAGAACAACAAGGACGCACGTGTCCTGGTGGTCTGCTCCGAGCTCAACGTCATGTTCTTCCGCGGCCCAGACGACGACCACTTCGAGAACCTCATCGGCCAGGCCCTCTTCGGCGACGGCGCTGCGGCGCTCATCGTCGGAGCGGACCCGGTCGAGGGGGCCGAGAAGCCCATCTTCCAGTTGGCCTCGGCGTCGCAGGTGATGCTGCCGGAGAGCGAGGAAATGGTGGCGGGACACCTGAGGGAGATCGGTCTGACCTTCCACCTGGCGAGCAAGCTTCCGGCCATCGTGGGCAGCAACATCGAGCGATGCCTGGAGGGGGCGTTCGAGCCGCTGGGCATCACGAACTGGAACGAGCTGTTCTGGATAGTGCACCCAGGGGGACGGGCCATCATCGACCAAGTGGAGGCCAGGGCGGGGCTGGCGCCGGAGAAGCTGGCGGCGACGAGGCACGTGCTCAGCGAGTACGGGAACATGCAGAGCGCGTCGGTGCTCTTCATCATGGACGAGATGAGGAAGCGATCGGCGATGGAGGGCCACGCCACCACCGGCCAGGGCTGCCAATGGGGGGTGCTCTTCGGCTTTGGCCCCGGCCTCACCGTCGAGACCGTCGTCCTCCACAGCGTCCCTATCTAGTCCGTGGGGGTTGGGATCCCCTCCGTGAAAACTACATTACATCGGTGGCTTTTAACCGTTATTCTTGTACTACACTGCACGCTGCTAAGACTCGTGGGAGGGGCGATGTCGATTAAATAAGGAATTGGATGGATCTCCCGTCCCGGACGACTTCAGGGCGACGGGGACTCCATCATACGTGGTGTGGAGCATGATACGATTAATGTTTCTTCCTCTTCTTTTTCCTGTACAATCCATCGTATGCTGGTTTGCGTCAATGGAAAACTAAGCCAAAGCCTCGTGGGTCCTTTCGGGGTATCAAGCAAAGAGGAGATTGATTGCACGCACCGTAACGAGTGTCTTTACCCGATCGATAAGCTCGCGGATCCAAGAGAGGGAAAATAGAAGAATCTCAACGACTCGATTATTCATGTTTTCTGAATCAAAAATAATCGTTGCCATCGAAGTAGGCGTGTGGTTGAGATTTAAAAGGAGTCGTCCGATGGACGGTCATCCTTTTCCATATTCCGACATAGATATCATAAAATCTGGACCGATCCTTTGTCGGACTATACCAGAGTCTTTCCTCCTGTCGGATACAAACGAAGACCAACCCGGCGCATGATTCCGGAACCGTCTTTTGACTCCACCACCGTCAGTGCGTATTGATAGGAGGGAAATGGAATGGCAGCTTGCTGGGTGGCCTTCTCCTCGTTTGATCACCTTCAACCAAACCAAGTCAATTGTCCGCGCAGCCGAACCACGATGAAAAGGACGCTTAGCACTGCTTGCCCTACGGAACAATCCAAAACCACATGAGCCGGTCCCAACATGTCAAAATAAAGAAAACGCGAGTCTATTTTGTTCGTTCGACCCTTGGGATGCGATGGTTGGAGACCGGCTTGGCAGCTTCTTTAGTTCTACAGGTTCCACTCGAAGGGTCAACGCAAATTAAAAGACCGGCATCCCAATCTTCAAACCAAATACCTGTTTGCGTATCGCAGCATGCTCGATGAATTGCTCATGAAAACTACATATTTATCATTTATTGCGGGCTTCGGATGCTCTTAATTCGGAGCGTTTTGTATCTACGATTGACTCGGTGGGAGATGCATGGATGTCTTAGTCTTAGCTCAGCAACTATGGCCACTGTGTTTGCCATTCCGGGTGGGTTCGGTCAAGTGTCCGAATCAAGTCGGTCACGCCATCTAACACCGCGAGGGATGAGGTAAGCTGACGAATGGACAAAGGGATAAACCAACGCTCGGACTGATGCCTGAGAACCACCTGTTGCCGACACATGGACCTACTCCTTGCGTTGGCATCACCTCATGCTGACATCCGCAACGTTTTTCACTTGCTTGGGTGAGAGCACTCCTTTTCGAAACGACATTTGTCCAACCTGTACGTCCTCGAATGGGTGTTGGGTAGAACGCAAGCGATTGTTATCAACATTAACACTCGAATGATCCATGCAATGGTGGAGAGAGACGTGGGTGGACCACAGCATTAACCTCTTCCTCCAAACCAAGTGGCGAGGATCGGAAGTCTAATTTGTGGCTCGATCGGGTTGGCGATCGACGTCCGGTCACACACGGGAACATACGCGGCGAGAAACGAGTCGGGAGCGGTTGGTGAGGGCCTCGTCTGAGGATGACTTCCTGTCGCAGTATCTCCACCACGACGCTTACGATATTTGCGATGGCTCCCAACAATTATTCCGTGGATGTCAGCATTTTCTCCAAGAGCGTTGAGAGGTAAGCCGCAGCCATCCACCGTAAACGGGAGTAGGTGGAGCAAATGTTTGCTAGCGCCAAAGGAAGACCGAGTACAAAGAAAGCATGGTCATCTACAGAGGGAAGAAACAGAGGAGACACGGCCAAGTAAGCTTGCTTGAAGCCTTACAAATTCCATGAGATAAGGTTACCAGAAAGGATTATAGCGACTGCGCACGCATACATTAGGAATCCTTGGGAAAGAGGGAAGGGGTGAGGGTGGGTACAAGCGGGGGATCGTCTTTCCCTATATATATATATCATAGATAGCCGAAGGAGGTGAGTCACTTCCAAGATCTAGATTTTGGAGCTTGAGCTTCGACGCAGGTAAATATGTCCAGCCTCCACGCCATGCGCAAGGCACAGAGGGCTCGAGGTCCGGCCACCATCATGGCCATCGGGACCGCCAACCCTCCCAATCTCTACGAGCAGAGCACGTATCCGGATTACTACTTCCGCGTCACCAACTCCGAGCACATGCAGGAGCTGAAGCACAAGTTCCGGCGCATCTGTAAGAGACTCTGTTCTATATCTTTCTCTGAAAATTCTTGCGAGTCGACCGTAGAATCTTTCTGCGGAGATGACCACACACACACACACGCACACGCTTGAACGCTGCGATTCACTCTTTTTTGCCAATCCATTCGTTCTTCTTCGTCTTCGCTTATTTAGCGTCCATGTCAGACTCGCTCAGAGCAGATATAACGTAATCGTCGAGGGAGGTTAACTAACTTTGCCGTTCATGTTTCCTGCCTATATACGGACCATAACGTAATCGTCGGGTTAAACGTGAGTCTTCAACTGGCGTCTTTATGGTACTGCCTAGGCGTGTTAGCAGTTTAATTATTGCAACAGATCGAGAGGTCCACAATTAGTCTGCATTACGAGTCACTGAAACATGCATGCATCCAAACCAGAGCAAGCAAGAAAAGAGCTACTAACTTGGCTCTGTTTTTTGCTTGCCATGTTCGTCGGACGAAGGCGAGAAGACCATGGTCAAAAGACGCTACCTCTATCTCACGGAGGAGATCCTAAAAGAACGGCCAAAACTGTGCGCCTACATGGAGCCATCTTTCGACGACCGGCAGGACATCGTGGTGGAGGAGGTGCCCAAGCTGGCCAAGGAAGCCGCCGCCAAGGCCATCAAGGAGTGGGGCCGCTCCGTGTCCGACATCACCCACTTGGTCTTCTGTTCCATCAGCGGCATCGACATGCCCGGCGCCGACTACCGCCTCGCCAAGCTCCTCGGCCTCCCCCTATCCGTCAACCGCATCATGATCTACAGCCAGGCCTGTCATATGGGCGCCGCCATGCTCCGCATCGCCAAGGACCTGGCCGAGAACAACAAGGGCGCCCGGGTGCTCGTGGTGTCCTGCGAGATCACCGTGCTCAGCTTCCGAGGCCCGGACGAGCACGACTTCCAGGCTCTCGCAGGCCAAGCGGGGTTCGGCGACGGGGCAGCTGCGGTCATCGTGGGCGCAGATCCCATCCAAGGCGTGGAAAAGCCGATCTACGAGATCATGTCGGCCACGCAAGTGACGGTACCGGAGAGCGAGAAGGCCGTCGGTGGCCATCTCAGGGAGGTAGGCCTGACCTTCTATTTCTTCAGCCAGTTGCCGATGATCATCGCCGACAACATAGAACATAGCCTGACCGAGGCTTTCAAGCCCCTGGGGATCGCCAACTGGAACGACATCTTCTGGGTGGCGCACCCGGGGAACTGGGCGATCATGGACGCCATCGAGCGCAAGCTGGGGCTCCAGCCGGAGAAGCTCAGCACGGCGCGGCATGTTTTCTCCGAGTACGGGAACATGCAGAGCGCCACTGTGTACTTCGTGTTGGACGAGGTCAGGAAGCGATCGGTGACGCAAGAGCGGTCCACCACCGGTGACGGACTGCGGTGGGGCGTGCTCTTTGGGTTTGGCCCCGGGCTCAGCATCGAGACCGTCGTGCTCCGCGGTGTGCCACGCTAGGGATTTCCATCCCCCCGTAATGATGCACGTAAGTAATCATCAATCTAATCTAGTGTGCTCTCCAGATGTGTTGTGTGAATTGTGACGACGCTGTAAACGAATCACGCTCTTTCCTTGCTGGGTTTGGCCAAAAAGAAGGGATACGATGGTGGCATGTATGTACATGAGGAACCATCCCGTGTTCAATGAATTGAACCCAAAAATATCCCTTTTGATCGTACGGAGACATCCTTGTCGATCGCCATCATCTTGAACGAAGCCCAAATTTCATCGGCCGACTCGTCCTGCGTGTGACAAATGAAATATCGAGCGACAATTGATTAGATGTCTTTACATAGAATAGCTTCGAAATTTCCGAGTAAACTGAGAGTAATCTGTAGCTCAGCTTCTGCTGGTGCACGCATTTTTTTTGCTTTTCGTAGTTAGTTATGAGCAAAGCCAAGTGGATGACATGAGTTTGGGGAAAGCCATGCGGTAAAATGATACCTGATTAGACTACATGGAGTCTAGTCGCTGAGCAATTCAAAGATCCCCGGTAGTTACATCTCCATAAGGAAATTTCATATGGGCAATTGCACCTGATGTGGGGGTGGGTGTTCAGAATTGATTGGCCAAACACAAAGGCAACTTTTAAGTGGGTGGGTTCTTTCCTTAAGTGACAAGTAAAAGACAACGGGAAAAAAAGAGGCCACGCGGCTCATGTACTTACTCTCTCTCTCTTTCTCTCAGGAGAGCTGCCATGTGGGACCCGCACTTCAGCTCCGACGCACGGGAAATGAAGTGCCACGTTATTTACAACGGAAAAACTATCGCTCGATAATTTATTATGGTAACAGATATATATATTATTTCTTTTGAGAAGCATCAAATTCTCTTTGAATGTGCATGCTAACGCTATTTGAAGTGGGATACAAGATGGAACACCGGAAGAGGCGTGAGTACAGCAGAGACGCAAAGATGCTTGAAAGGAACAACGAGGACGGAGTCTGAATCTGAAACTTAATGGACGCACCTCGAATATATATATATATATATATATATATATATATATCCACCGTTCGAGAAGCTGGAACCATGAATTAAACAGGTAAGTACTGGACCTATAATGCCCTGTGTGGATTTTTGTTGGAAACCCGGCAAAGAACCATAAAATTACACCTCGTCGTCCTGGGATCAGGTGATCGTCCGGGCCTGGGATGAGGGATTCTGGATTTCTCTGGTAATGCTAACTTAAACCGAAACACAGCATATTTCCACTATGAGACCATAGAGATCTCTAGTATTACACCAATTAAACCGGAAGATCTACATACATACTATTAGCTATACATCAAGACGTTTCTACGTGCTTGAGATCTTGGCGCCTGCCTCGTCGTGGTGATGGCCGTTCAATTATCGTAGTCCATGATTCGAAAGTGGACTCAGGAAATAAAATATGGCTTCTTCAATATGAGGGGCGGGCAGAGCCAATCGCACTGGTTTCTTTGAAGACCATCACAGATCAGAGAAGAAAAACCTGGCCATGTAACTTTCCATCTTTAAAAAAACATGTAGAACTAATCAAAGGCCTAAGACATTTCTATAGCTGTTTCCGTGCACCAAACAGGGGAGAGAGGTTGGTGAAGACCACTTGTGTATGTATATAATAATATAATGTTTTCTGCAAAGGTTGGTGAAGACCTTGTGGATGATAATGATGGTTGCGTGGACTGATCGTACTCAGGAAGCGATTGAGTCGGGAAATGGAGGCCAGCTCGTGACGGCGTATCGGAAGCCGCAGATGTGCGTGAGTTGCATGGGCGGTAGGTGTGCGTGCTCATCTCCGATTTCAAAGCAACCGGTGGTGAAGTCATATCTCGACCAATTGGGTATTAGTGACTGACTCGTTGGTTCTACGTTCCACCAAGTGCCCACACATCGCCATCGTCGCTTCTCTCTCTCTCTCTCTCTCTCTCTCTCTCTCGGGTTTAAGCGCACGCTTAAGCAAGCCTTCTTTATCCGCTACCATAGTCTGTCTTCATTTTTTTTTCTTTGTGCGACCAAACGAATATATATTATCAATCAATAATTGATATATCTGATGACAACGTTTCAGGGTGACGGAATGGCTGACCGAATCAATTGCCATCGTCATCTACGTGAGGAACCAGTCTATAAGTTTGACTAAAGCAACAATGAAGGTAGGTCTGTTTGCACTTAGACATTCTTTTTATAGAATTATTATTATTATTATTATTATTATTATTATTATTATTATTATTATTATTATTATTATTATTATTATTGATGAGGGTAATAATTAGGGTAAGACTCGCATGACATCCGCTAGCCCAAATGACGCCCCACGGGCCGACAGCACCTGGTCAACACGGACCAGAACACCTACCAAGGCACATTAACACTCCCCTCCGGCTCAACCCCTCACGCCATGCCAACGGCGATGTCAGACGCCACTAGGAGTACGATCATGCTCCATGTGGGCAGGCACACCAGGTAACGGTAATTCTTACTATAAAAACCCTCGCGCCGACAGCACCTGATCAACACAGACCAAGAACACCTACCAAGGCACATTAACACTCCCCTCGGCTCGATCCCTCACGCCACGCCAACAGCGATGTCAGACGCTATCAGGAGTACAATTCTACTCCCTGTGGGCAGGCACACCAGGTAACGGTAATTCTCACTATAAAAACCCTCGCGCCCCAAAAGAGGGGAGAGAGGAACAAAAGAAAACCCCTACTACTCTTCACTAATTGGATTATCGGAGGGGTCGGGTCGAGTCTCCCGACCCGACCTATGTGCAGGGACAAAGACGGGGTGCCTCCCATCGCGTGCCCAGGCAAGGAGTCCCCTCCCAGAGGGAATGACCGACCCGCCCCGATCCAACCACCGCGGTCGGCCACCTCAGCAGTCTCAAAGGTCGTTGAGGAAGATCCCCAATCATTCAGACCCGAACCCAGTCACGTCGACCTCGAGACCACGACTTAAGGTTGTTTACACTAACAATTATTATTATTATTATTTCCCTCCTAAGTTGTTTTATTAGTAATTCTCGACGAGATTATAATAACGATGCCTCATCACTTTGTAGTTTGGTTCCAGTGGTTGGGAAAAACGATTCATATAGGTTCCAGCGGAGTGGATGGATGTTAACGAAAGTGGTGTACAATAATATTATTTCAATAGATATTTATATATTGATATAAAAAATATTGTTGACATCTTGATATGGTTTGGACCCAAATACATAGGATTATTCGAGATGTCTCAGAATGTTAAACTGTTGATATGTTATTTTTACGAAGATCAAAGTTAATTGAAAGCATCCAATATTTTTCTTTTACTTATTGTTTGTTTCTATGTCACTACATCCATATTTATTTGACATTAAAAAAATATTTCTTATATTTTACGATAAGTTGACCTGTCAAGTTAGCTATTTTTAAGATTATTAAAATAGGTTCTGATTGAATTTGAGTCGAACCAATCCAAAGCCGTAAAACTTTTTTATTTAATTCGATCGATCATTCTAAAAAATCTGCACCTCTAATTAATGCACAATCCATCTATCGTTTCACGAGCACAAAGACAACTGAAATCATACAATAATTGATATCTCGACAGGAATCCAAATATGTCGAATCACTTATATCAATGATAGATTTATTGGTAGATCAACGAAGATTATCACAGTAAGAAAGATGAGAATTAATCGTGGAGTCTACAGTGGCATTGGTCTGGCCGAAGACAAAGGCGAAACTTTATTTTTCTCGGGGACGTTGATCGCTGGCCAAGAGAAAAAGGCTTAGAGAAATCTAACAGCAAGTTCATAATTATAATTCGTCATCCATGAGTACGCGCGTTTCTGTTCATGCTTTGAGGTCTTGCCGATGCTGGTGGTAGTGGCGGTGGCCGCCGAAGGTCGCACCGAAGCAACCCAAGAGTCGGGAGTTTGAATACTCGATCGGAATCGACCAAGTATGCTTCCTGCAAATATTAGCAAGCGGATATATCCGTGCTGAGATCTCAGTCGTTAATAGCTTGTTTGTTTTTCCTCATCACATCCGAACAACTCGGTGGAATACTCTGCGTATGTCAACAGGCTATTCGAAGGGTCTTGTTGTTTGTCACCGGGGATGAAAATGACGACGGCGGTACAAGGATTGGCTTGGTTTTGAGAGGCGGAGCCGAATGAGTGCCAGTCCATTACCGTGAACAGGAAAACCCTGGCCATGTCTCTTAACGCTAAGAAATCATATACGTAGAGCCAATTCGAGGCCTACGAAGCCATAGATGTCTAATACTGTTTGCTGGATGCAAAACGAGGCGAGAGGGGGTTGGTGGGATGCAGTGGGTAGGTGAAGACCACTTGTAAATAATCAAGTATTTTATTTTCTTTCTTTCTGAAGAGGTTGGTGAGAATACCTAAACCAATATAGTATGGACTCACCCCGCAGTTGAATGCAATGGGTTGACTCGGGAAGAAGGGCGAAGTTGGTGGAGAAGCTCCGGATGACGACGACGTACATATATCCAAGCAATGTGTCATCCATCCATCTATTAATGTTCAATAGCCCCGCCACTTTGGTGCTACCGATTCGTTCAACGTTCAAAGTAAATGCCTACTCGATCAACGGAAGTTGGCACGCCTAACCGTGATGGAAACAGAGGATACTGTAACACTGACACCCGAAACACCCTATATAAAGCATATGACGAAGGAGAAACTCCCCGCTCATCATCCCACTGTTTTATCCCGCATCACTCATCCGACGTTTTCGCTGCAACTATGGCTGGTATCAGTACCTTCCGAAAGGCTCAAAGACCTCAAGGTCCAGCCACCATCATGGCCATCGGGACGGCCAATCCCCCCAACCTCTACGAGCAGAGTACTTTCCCGGACTTCTACTTCCGGGTCACCAACTCCGACCACATGCCAGAACTCAAGGACAAGTTCCGCCGCATCTGTAAGTTTATATCTGTGCGATACGATTCTTCGTCGAAACATTCCTTTCCTAATCGGAAAAAGAAAAAGGCTAACATGCGCTGTCGATCGCTCTGTACGTGAAGGTGGCAAGACCATGATCAAAAAGCGGTACATGCACCTCACGGAGGAGGTCCTCAAGCAGAAACCTGGAATGTGCTCCTACATGGACCCCTCCTTCGACGAGCGCCAGGAAATCGTGGTGGAGGAGGTGCCGAGACTCGCCAAGGAAGCCGCCGCCAAGGCCATCAAAGAGTGGGGCCGCGACAAGTCCGGCATCACCCACTTGGTCTTCTGCTCCACCAGCGGCATCGACATGCCCGGCGCCGACTACCGCCTGGTCAAGCTCCTGGACCTCCCCCTATCCGTCAACCGCATCATGCTCTACAACCAGGCCTGCCACATCGGTGCCCAGATGCTCCGCATCGCCAAGGACATCGCCGAGAACCACAAGGACGCCCGTGTGCTCGTGGTGGCCTGCGAGCTCAACACGCTCATCTTCCGAGGCCCAGACGAGCGCGACTTCCTGAGCCTCGCAGGCCAAGCCGCATTTGCGGATGGAGCAGCAGCGGTCATCGTCGGCGCGGATCCAATCCAAGGCGTCGAGAAGACCATCTTCGAGATGATGTCTGCGGAACAAGTGACCGTACCCGACTGCGAAAAAGCCGTCGGAGGCCACCTCAAGGAGATCGGTCTCACCTTCCATTTCATGAACCAGCTTCCCATGCTCATCTCCAACAACTTGGAGAACTGCCTCCTGGAGGCGTTCAAGCCATTAGGCATCACCGACTGGAACGAGGTCTTCTGGGTGTCACACCCGGGAAACTGGGGAATCATGGACGCCATCGAGAAGAAGGTGGGGCTCAAGCAGGAGAAGCTCCGCTCGTCGAGGCATGTGTTCGGTGAGTACGGGAACATGATGAGCGCCACGGTTCTCTTCGTGATGGACGATGTGAGGAAGCGGTCGGCGGCGGAGGGGCGGGCGACAACCGGCGATGGGTTGGAGTGGGGAGTGCTCTGCGGCTTTGGACCGGGCCTCACCATCGAGACCGTGGTGCTTCGCAGTGTGCCTCTTTAGATTTCCCAGCAGAAACAGGACTTTTTATGTACTGTAAATAAAAAAAAAGGACCTCAATTACGCTAAAATGTGTGTGTTCTTAAAATAAAAATTATAGCTCGTAAGTCGCTAGTTTTTTCTTTCGATTTTTTTGTTAGTATGTTCATCGGGTTGCTCATTACAAATAAACCTCCACCATCTATCACACTACTGTAATCGTTTTGATCCATGATATATGAGTAAACTTGACCAGTTATATATATATATATATATATATATATATATATATATATATAATTGTAAATCTGTATTGCTGATTATTAATTAATATTTTTCACTATATTTATCTTCCTGTATTTACCATCGGCATGCTCCGTGATAAAGGTTATAAAAACGGGTCAAAGTCCTCCGACTACTAAACTAAACTGTGGCCTCTTAATTAACATTTTTAATCTTTCAAAAACAAATGATCGTATTACAATTATCGATCTATCTATATAGGCCTAAAATATAAGAAAAATATTAATTAATAAGAAAGAAAATAAAATAAAATCATGTCAACATATTATTCTATCCGATCATCTAATGTTTTAGAATTGTCCCATCAATTAGTTTTTCTTTTTTTGGGTATATGATGGTCTTTCATTAAGATACATTGTTGGTTCTTTATTCTCTTTTCTTATTTTTTTATTATTCATTATTATCGATCTAAGAAATAAAATCATATATTATATATCAGTTGAATCCATTCATCATCAACCCAAAACACTTTGGATTGATTCTTTTTCTTTAGATGTCTATAAAATATGATTTGATTTTCATCATATATATATATATATATTAATGAGAAAATAAATATAGTTATCTAGTTATTAACCACTCAATAGATGATTTCTCTTGATCGATAATACACTAATGATCAATTATCATCCAACACATAATCATCACATTGAAGCTATCATTTAAGAAAAATATCTAAGTCACTTTTTATTTGTCTGACCGCATGAACCAAAGTCTAAGATAGATCGTTTGAGGTTCTCCTGCATGTGAATAAAATGTCAAAAAGAAAATATTGGGATAAGTATAAATTGTTTTATCTGAGTTTATATATAAAAGCTAATCTCGATAGTACATCGAGAGCTCACTCTTTAAGAAAAACTTATATCTACCGAGCGATCTCGATCACTAACTTGAGTATTGAAGAGATCAGATTGAGAAATTTTCTTTGACATTAATCTTAGTATAGATAACATTTCGAGATCTCAACATGATTATCTCAGAGCTACTTTAGAGCCACCTTAGTCACCATCTCGAATACGTCTACGTCCTTGAGTTTGGACTACGTTGAGTTAACTCAGACATCAATGATGTTTCCCGTAACACCTCACTTGGTGAAAACGCTAGAGTTTAGCAACTTGTTATAGACTTTTATGATATTTTTTCTACCGTTTTAGCTAATATTTACGTGTCTATGTATCTATCGATATATTCGATGGAGATGTGGTGAATCTAACTGTTCCTGGCTGTAAGATGAGTACAGAGTACGTACTACTGTACAATTCTTTTCTATACGAGAAGAGGCCAATCCTGGACGCGGATCATTGATCAACCCAGGAAGCATCCTCCTTTATTCGCATTGCTTTCCCACCAACTTTTTGTTTCTTTTACTTGGAACATCTTGCTTTACTTTATTCACATTGCTTTCGTACTTTTTGTTTCTTTTCTTTCCAACATTTTACTTCTTTTTTTTAATTTAATATTTCCCTTTGCACTTATCACAGGGCACTAACAAATAACAGATGGCCTGTTTGCACATCGACTCCGGTGGAAACCACCGAGACTTCGGCGGTCCCATCGGACACGCGTTGTTAGAGGATCAAAAAGGAATGAGAGCCAGAGGTCAGGCATCTCCAATCGGACATCCCAACCATGGAGTCCACAGCAAGAGCATTTGGTCTGATCTGGAATCAGCAGACCCAATCAAACGCGGGTTCCAGTTACAGCTCTTCACGAACGTCACCCAGCACGTACAAACCCTTTTTATCTTCTCGAGAAGTCAATAGTTCACGCAGGAAATAGTTTGTCGAGTAATCTTTTTCCAGGATGCATGCCGAACACGTCCATTAGTTGACGTCAGGCAAGCAGTGACTAAAAATTCCATAGTTTTGGAATCTGTAAGCAGGCCGGGAATTGGATGCCGAGGAGCTTCCCACAGATTATGCTTCTGGTCGTTTGGATGGTGACGCATCATCGGCAATGAGATAGTGCAGTCGACAAAACTACACCACCGTTCAGCACCAGAGGGAGGGGAAGGTTGACGATTTCCATAACTTGAAAATGTCAACAAAAGTTAGTCAATTGTCATGTGCTCCATTCAACGTTTTGTCGGTCAACACTAAGACTTGGCTCCACCAACCCACTACAATGATTTGAATCCATGTTGCATGAGAAGCTGCGCGACCAAACGCCGGGGCTTCCATATAAGAGGGTGGAGGAGGGGAGCCACTCCACACCCTGCAAGTTGCTAACTTTCACTTGTTGTTACCGCTGGTTCTCGTCCAAGTCCTAGAATTGCGAAGATGGTTAGCATCGATGCCTTCCGGAAGGCCCAAAGACCTCAAGGTCCGGCCACCATCATGGCCATCGGGACGGCCAATCCCCCCAACCTCTACGAGCAGAGCACTTTCCCGGACTTCTACTTCCGGGTCACCAACTCCGACCACATGCCGGAACTCAAGGAAAAGTTCCGCCGCATCTGTAAGTTTACATCCGTGTGTGTGCTCGCGCTGCGATTCTTCGTCTAAACAGTACTTGAGAAAAGCTAATTCGCTCTGTTGCTCGCGCTGTTCACGAAGGTGGGAAGACCATGATCAAGAAGCGGTACATGCACCTCACGGAGGAGGTCCTCAAGCAGAAACCCGGAATGTGCTCTTACATGGACCCCTCATTCGACGAGCGCCAGGAAATCGTCGTGGAGGAGGTGCCGAGGCTCGCCAAGGAAGCCGCCGCCAAGGCCATCGAAGAGTGGGGCCGCGACAAGTCAGGCATCACCCACTTGGTCTTCTGCTCCACCAGCGGCATCGACATGCCCGGCGCCGACTACCGCCTCGTCAAGCTCCTCGGCCTCCCCCTATCCGTCAACCGCATCATGCTCTACAGCCAGGCCTGCCACATCGGCGCCCAGATACTCCGCATCGCCAAGGATATCGCCGAGAACAACAAGGACGCCCGTGTGCTCGTGGTGGCCTGCGAGCTCAACACGCTCATCTTCCGAGGCCCAGACGAGCGCGACTTCCTGAGCCTCGCAGGCCAAGCCGCATTTGCGGATGGAGCAGCAGCGGTCATCGTCGGCGCGGATCCAATCCAAGGCGTCGAGAAGCCCATCTTCGAGATGATGTCTGCGGCACAGGTGACGGTACCGGACTGCGAAAGGGCCGTCGGAGGCCATCTCAAGGAGATCGGTCTCACCTTCCATTTCATGAACCAGCTTCCCATGCTCATCTCCAACAACTTGGAGAACTGCCTCCTGGAGGCGTTCAAGCCATTAGGCATCACCGACTGGAACGAGGTCTTCTGGGTCTCCCACCCGGGGAACTGGGGAATCATGGACGCCATCGAGAAGAAGGTGGGGCTCAAGCAGGAGAAGCTCCGGTCGTCGAGGCACGTGTTCGGTGAGTACGGGAACATGATGAGCGCCACGGTTCTCTTCGTGATGGACGATGTGAGGAGGCGGTCGGCGGCGGAGGGGCGGGCGACAACCGGCGATGGGTTGGAGTGGGGAGTGCTCTTCGGCTTTGGACCGGGCCTCACCATCGAGACCGTGGTGCTTCGCAGTGTGGCTATCTAGATTTCGCAGCAGAAACAGGAATCCGGTGGACTTGTTCGTACCATATTAAGTGAATTATTTCCGTTTTAATTCTTGCGGTGGAACTCCATTTGGCTTCTAAGCTTAAATAAAAAGCTGCACAGAGTTAACGTACAAATTCTTGTTTGATTATTATGTTCGTCTCGTTGCTCAACACCAATGAACATGTGGTTTTCAATCTAAGATGATGATTATGATAGAATGAAGAATGAAGTCGTAAAGTTTAAAAAGCATGCATCGATTAATTTGATATGATATCTATTTATACATGTTGAAAGAGAGTATTTTGCTTAAAAATATAAGATTTTCTCATGCAGTTGGAGAAATCTTATATACTGTGCAGTTGAAGAAATCTCTCTACTATCATATTAAGCGTATGAATAATTCGAACCTCACTCACTCTAATTCTTTGAAGTTTAGTATTGCTCACCTATTAATTGACAATTTTATTGCATCCTACCTTTTCTACGAATATTTCCCTTGCGTACTTCTACAACTCAATTTCTAGACTTAAACGATGATCTCTGCTATAAACATTTAGCATCGGCAAATGAATATACCATTCGATATGTCAATCCCTTATCGTGGAATGAACTGAACTCAGAACATTGTCTATCCCTTCGGATGCTTGCTGACCTTTTCTCCGTGAGAGCATACGGTTTGGCATCTTCCTCTATCAAATCATCTAACGAAGGCCGTGAGGTTCCTGCTCATCTTCGCAGAGAGGTGACCGAATTGGTCGCCGCATCGCTTTCCCGATGTCGCGGTTGGCCAGGGGAAGGTGATGCACATTTTCACTGCTCCAAGCTGGAAGGTTACGGTCCTCATCGGGTGCCGTCGAAGCATAATTAAGAGAAGGATACCCGAGAGATGTTGATGACTTCTTGTCATCGGTGCATAGCTTATAATTCTTCTTCAGTCTCGTGTTGTTGTCCTCTGCAACTTTTGTTGACCATTCGTTTCTAGTCTTGAAGGTGGGAGCCGTCCTCGGTAGTTGGACGGGGCCGGCATTGAGTTGAAATTTCGACGAGCATATATGAGCGACATTTGTCAGTTGCAATGAAATTATGCGCATTGACTATTTACGAGTCCCTCCGACCGACCGACCGTCGATGCAATTGCAATGGAGCTGCACGCGGAAGACGGATTAGGGTGCGGTCTTTCTAAAAGAGTCACGAAAATAATAACAATGATTGGGATACTAGTAAATTTCATTCAGTTTTAACTGTCAAGTATTTGAATCTATCCTAAATTTATTTCATATGATATCATTTTTTATTTATATTTGATAAGAAATATAAAATCATCAGCTCATCATTCGTCACACCAATAACATGTCAGGTTAACACTCTTCAGTCCACCAAGATAAAAGTCCAGAAGTTAACTTAGGTAAGTTATTGAGTTATTGAGATCCTCAGGAGGTGTAAAATATTCATAGGAATATTTTCGATCGATTATGAATTGGCTCTTTAGCGAAATATTCATATGAATATTTTTGAAATATTAGAATGTAGTTTGAGTCAGTTACGAATCGACTCTTCGACGAAATATTTATAAGAATATTTTTGAAAACTTAAAAGGTAGTTCGAATCAATGAACTACCTTCCTATAATATTCTTTCTCATTAAGATTAATATAAAAATTTTTAATTTTATATTAGAGAGGAGAAATAGAAAAAGGTGAAACTCGGCTACTAACTTAAAGTATCAAAACAATCAACTTGGGTAACTCTCTGACCTCGATCTTTGTACAAGAAATGAGTCTAGAGAAATCGAGCTCTACCTTGGTCGATTCCTCGTATATGGATTGGAGTCGTATTGATATGAATATCAATAATATTTTTCTTTTATAATATTCTTTTCCAATAAATACCCTAGCAGAAGGGAAAACACAAAAACCCAAATTTTGTTAGTATTATAAGAATCACAATGGATGCCGATGAGCTTTTCATATTCCAAAACGAAACCCGATCTTCGTATATCTTTTTCTCCTATTCAATAATATTAACTCAACGTCGTTCTTATTAAAAAAACACCCACGAAGTGCTCAATATCGAATTAGTTTCATCTTATTAGACATCGACTCGAAAGACAATTGTACAGAAACTCCTCGACGACTAGTCCGCTACGCACCGCAGGCGAGTTCACAGCTGTAGACAACCCCACGCAGATTTCAGTGATCCATTCGACGTCGAAGTAAGAAGCATGGTGTTGAAGACGAAGTCCGTTTGCTCCATCTATTTGGTGAATGCACGCATCGCGAAGTCGATAGGCCTTTCTCGCCTACTGACAAGGCAGTGCATGCGTACGTCCAACGTAAGTATAATATGTATATATGTATATGTATATGATCAATAATTAAATGAAGGTTACGTAAATCGTTTGGGAATGCGTGCAAGCTGATCTTGCCAAAAGCGGACAAGATGATGCAACATGAGCACCTATTCAAGGAACCATCGGTATTTCTGCCCAGCGGTTGGCGTGGGTCGGCCATGTCCATCACATGTGCTATAGAAGTTGCTAGGCAAGTCAATGCCTACCCAGTCAACCACGCCCTACCGCGTCGTTCATGTGACATGGAAACGGGTAAGCGTACATCATCACATACGTCCTTTCTTTCATGCATGGATCAAAAACTGAGGGCAAACAAGATCTTGAACAATTCATTCATGCATCCAACCATTAAATTCCTCCGTTAAGTGGGTGGGAAGAGACCGAGCGATGGACTCGGAGCAGCATCGATCGAGTCAGCAAGCATAGTCTTACTTTGTTTACATTGCTTTCCTATCTTTTAACTTTCTATTTTGCTTTAGTCAAATTGCTTTCCCACCTTTCTGTTTCCTCGCTTTCCGCTGGCATCAGCGGTAAACCACATGGATGATATACGAGCCACGCGTCGTCCGTGTTCGATTTGGACATTGCAATACACGGTTGTTTGTGATTGGCTGCAGCTTTTACTTACCCAAAATGATACAGACTAGAACGAAATCGCTCGGTCTCATCTGGCGTAATCAAACATGGAGTCGAGTTCCTCCACCGTTCACAAACATCGTCGAGCAATCTTAAAAGCCTTTGGTCTCTCTCCGTTCTCAAAGAGCCATTAGTCATAGTCTCGGAACACTTGCTTTCAATAGGATGTTGTTTGACTAATCATCCATAGTGGCGAAATGTTGAAGAAAGTGGGGTTGGTGAAGAAACTGCCGCAGACTGTGTTGATCAAGTTTTGGATTGGTCAGAATCAGCAATAACCACGGTTGGTGGGTAGGCGAATTCGAAACTCCCTCAGTCAAATTAACTCTAAGCACGTGGGGAACCACCTACGGTCAACGTTTTCATCGGTCAGCAGGAAGACTTGGCTCCACCAACCACCCTTTGCATGAGAAGCTGCAAGGCAAAAACACACCAAGGGTAGCTGGCTGCTGAGGGCCTTCGTATAAATGGGCGGAGGAGAAGACCCACTCCTCCCATCCTGCACTCTCTAACTTCACTGCTGCTTTGATCCATTCCTTCCTCGCTTGATCTCCTTCTGGTGCTCGCTGCTCCTTCTCCTCCCAGAATTGTGAAGATGGCCAGCGTCCATCCATTCCGCAAGGCCCAAAGAGCACGAGGTCCGGCCACCATCATGGCCATCGGGACGGCCAATCCTCCCAACCTCTACGAGCAGAGCACTTTCCCCGACTTCTACTTTCGGGTCACCAACTCCGACCACATGCCGGAACTCAAGGAAAAGTTCCGCCGCATCTGTAAGTATACATCTGTGTCTGCTGCGATTCTCCGTCTAAAAAAGAGAGAAAAAGCTAACTTGCTCGCTCTGTGCGTGAAGGTGGGAAGACCATGATCAAGAAGCGGTACATGCACCTCACGGAGGAGGTCCTCAAGGATAAACCAGGGATGTGCTCCTACATGGACCCGTCTCTGGACGAGCGACAGGACATCGTGGTGGAGGAGGTGCCGAGGCTCGCCAAGGAAGCCGCCGCCAAGGCCATCGAAGAGTGGGGCCGCGACAAGTCCGACGTCACCCACTTGGTCTTCTGCTCCACCAGCGGCGTCGACATGCCCGGCGCCGACTACCGCCTGGTCAAGCTCCTCGGCCTCCCCCTATCGGTCAACCGCATCATGCTCTACAGCCAGGCCTGCCACATCGGCGCCCAGATGCTCCGCATCGCCAAGGACATCGCCGAGAACAACAAGGACGCCCGTGTGCTCGTGGTGGCCTGCGAGCTCAACACGCTCATCTTCCGAGGCCCAGACGAGCGCGACTTCCTGAGCCTCGCAGGCCAAGCCGCATTTGCGGATGGAGCAGCAGCGGTCATCGTCGGCGCGGATCCAATCCAAGGCGTCGAGAAGCCCATCTTCGAGATGATGTCTGCTTCACAGGTGACGGTACCGGACTGCGAAAGGGCGGTCGGAGGCCATCTCAAGGAGATCGGTCTCACCTTCCATTTCATGAACCAGCTCCCCATGCTCATCGCCAACAACTTGGAGAACTGCCTCCTGGAGGCGTTCAAGCCATTAGGCATCACCGACTGGAACGAGGTCTTCTGGGTCTCTCACCCGGGGAACTGGGGAATCATGGACGCCATCGAGAGGAAGGTGGGACTCAAGCAGGAGAAGCTCCGCTCGTCGAGGCACGTGTTCGGTGAGTACGGGAACATGATGAGCGCCACGGTTCTCTTCGTGATGGACGATGTGAGGAAGCGGTCGGCGGCGGAGGGGCGGGCGACAACCGGCGATGGGTTGGAGTGGGGAGTGCTCTTCGGCTTTGGACCGGGCCTCAGCATCGAGACCGTGGTGCTTCGCAGCGTCGCCCTCTAATAGGGTTTCTCACCTCCAAAATTATGAAATTTTTTTTTCTTTCTTTTCGCATTCTTTCCTATTTGAATTTGTAAGAGAATAATGTAAACTACATAACGTTGTCGATGCATATACCCTTTTTCTTTTCTTTTTTTGTATTTCTGATTTTTAACAGTGTTTGACTGATATAAGAAAAAATATCAACCCAACAAACAACATCGTTTTCTTTGTTTTAACCGCACAATAATTGACGCCTGCCAATTAATGCCAGAAGAACCTATAAGAAAATAAATAAGATGACTGACGATTAGTAGTATTTCGGGCATGCGGTGTAAGAATGCAGTAGTAAAATAATAATAATAATAATAATAATAATAATAATAATAATAATAATAATAATAATATTATTATTATGAATAGTTAATCCCGCATTGCCGTATGGGATCTGATTTGAAGTGGGTGGACATCGAGTTGTGCCATCGTGGAATATTCACCTCATGTGGATTATCTGAAAAGTTTTGCAGCCAGCAGGGCATCGCACCACACATGGGAGTCTAGATTTGACCCTCCGGTTGCCTCCTGCAAACGTATTAGGAAACCCACTCAACCCAAGCTACGATCCTATCTGAATTATGAGATTTCAGGGATTCCATAAAACGTAATAAAGAAAGACAAGACCAAACTAGCTACGATCCTGTCTGAATTATGAGATTTCAAGGATTCCATTAAACGTAATAAAGAAAGACGACCAATCTAGCTACGATCCTATCTGAATTATGAGATTTCAAGGATTCCATGAACCACAATAAAGAAGGACCAAACTAGCTGCGATCCTATCTGACTCGTGAGATTTCAGGGATTCTATAAAACACAATAAGGAAAGACCAAAGTAGCACAAACTAGCATGATGAGGCTTGTCCGCAACAGCTTCAGATTTCAACGGGAATGTGTATCTTACAATCACCACAATAATATACAACATTACGAAACATTTGGACGTATACAACAACAATAATATACTTCAGCTGTCTACGGCTACGGCTCATCCCTGAGCCAGTGTTGAATCATGTAGACAACGAAAGCCCCACACAACATCACTGACCCCAGAACAACCAAAATCTGGACCCACAACAATGAAATAAAGGCTTCTAATACAAAAGAATGCCACAGCCAATACCATGCAACACCACAACAGGACCCCAGTAGAGCACCTACAAGGACTTGACTGTAAGTGTGGAGCTGCTGTGATACCCGAAGCCATGACTGCATCAACAAAAAAGATAGAAAGGGAACACAACTCAGTCATGAAGTCATATTTCATTAGACAGAGAAAGCAATACAAGAGAACAAAAAAAAGGTTAGGTTATGTGTGTTATCCAATGAATCTGCAGAGATGGACCTTGATGTATAAAAACATGGGACAAATATAGCTAAGAGATTCAAGAGAACAGAGACATGGATGCATGTATCAAATAGCTCTTACACCATATACATCTTCAATCAGTTTCTAACAGAACATTCGTACAAGTTTAAATGCACTTGGAGATCACCAAACTCTTTCAAATCAAATTTCTGTATGTGCTTGGTGAGCTGTCAGATCGATGATGCATAACTGTCTAGTTGTCTATTTTGAGGTGAGGACAGGATCGTTTCCATCTCCCCTGTCTTCTAAGGTTCTTACACAGCTTTCCTATCTACTTCAATCTTAAAGATTAATTTCTAATTCTTAGCAGACTACTCAAGCAAAACACATCGTCGGACTCATATATGATATCTACTTCAATTTGTGCTGATACTCTTTTCGCAAATTTATTGGTAGATACTAGTCGATATCAGTTAATCTAAATACAACATTTAAATAAGCTAAAATCGTACTATTATAAAACTTATAGATTAAAATATGTAGATTCTTAAAGAGCATAAGACTGAATTAAGTGATCTATCAAAATGAACTACCCTGATTGGAAGTTACGGAACTTATTATGGAACATAATTTAAAATGAAAGTTAATACAACATGCATGCCTTATGAGCTATTCTAATAGTAGAAGTTTCTGTCTGCATCTTAGATTAATGGTTTGAAGTTATGCATGGGTTTCTAATGAGGGAAAGGTTGTTAGCAAAGAGAATAGTGGGAGCCTATAAATAGGGCTCCCAATTCAGAGGATGAAGGGGGCACGTGTCCCCTTGGATCCCTTCACTCAGCAAGTGATATTTGCAGCTACAATTGAGAATACATGGCAATCCTTTGCCATCCTAATTCATCTAGATATATTGCTACTTAGATGTATGATTTCAGAGAACATAAATTTAAGTGTTCTTCCTTGAACTTCGAGAGAACTGACAACACCTGTACTTGATAAGGTAAACACCAAACTTTCCAATCTTGATTAATTTAAAAATATAACAGGAACTGGAATTGAAAACACAGAGCCACATATCTATAGATATTTAACATCGACATTTGCGGAACTTGGATTTCTTGGTCAAGCAAAAGGTTACTGGATGATTCTTGCACGCAAAAATGTGCTCTCCGATCAGAAAATCTTGTACGCCATAAAATGTAAAGTGGAAATATCAGAAACTTTCTTACAAGATAAGAGCCAAACAATAAGGCAATACTTCCAATAGACACCGTGAATGCATCTATCCCCAGATGATTGACCACTGCATCAGATGAAAACCCATGACAAAGTATTACACATAAAACATAAATATGGCATGTGAAAAAAAAAAACAAAATAAAGTATCAAAATGCCATATATTTGCAAAAGGCACTCTCATCCTAGAAGATGTCAAATTGACAGAAAAACCTTGAATGACAAAAGATGCATAGTCAGAATGCAAAATAATCATTACTTGTTATGAGATTGCGCTCTAGAAGTATCAAATATATGCAGTCACGGAACATCCTCTAAAATGCTAAGTATTACATACTAATAGTAACAACTCTGAATAATATGGTAAGGTTGTCAAAAATGGTTTAACCACAAGATGTTTCGCATATGCATACAAACAATACATAAGCAGAGTGAACCAAGAAGTTCCAAACCACAGTCACCTATTCCCGGCTCTCTGTTATTTAGGTGAGGGACATGGATCAAACATCAATTATATTGATAACCTAGGGACTTGGCTGGAAACCCTGATCAAAAGGTTACAAAAACTTCCAGCACCTACAGGATTCCATCAGTCCTTAATAAACCTGAATCAGTCTTTTTTCTCAGGAAATGTCCTGCGATGTTATGATTAAAATAGTGAAAATTCTTAAACTTTATTGAAGTATGCTAGATCACCTCATCTCCAAAATCTATCCTGTTGTGCTGGCTTTCTCCGTTTATGTTATAATTTGGCAAAGGATGCACTTAATTATTACAACCATTTCAACGCTAGAAGTATTGTCATAAGGCATGTACAAGATTGCAATTGTAGAAGAATGCATATTGATATTCTAGAATGTCAGTGTTACTTGGCCAGTCGCAAAAGGCTGCCATGTTCCTGTGCTCTGAGATAAACATCCCAAAGTTATGGCATAGGACATGTGTATGACTGTTAGATATATGCATTTCAAAAGCATGTAGATGTTTTTCAAAGACAGATGATTTCTTTATACAACTTCCAAAAGCTTAAGTCAGTCATTGTCCTAGATTATTCTAGTCATTGAAATATTTAGACTCCTAAAAATACTTTAACAGTAAAAAGTGAAAATCAAGTGCCCAAGTGGCAGTAATACTTGCATATACTTTTTTCATGAAGGGATAAAATGCCCATCGCTTAAGCAGGCAGCCTTCCAGGCTCAGCCTTTTGTTCCCCAAGCATATCGCCTTTACTCTTCCTTTTTCTTTAATACCATATTTTGTCATTTGAGGACCATGGTCCAGACAGATCAGGTAAGTAGGTTACTGTTTCCCCATAACCTGCAGAAAAAAACTTTTTGCTTGGTTCAGACGGTAATCCTACCCTTGGTTCAAAATTAACGTTTGGTCCGACCAGGGAGCAATACTAGTCCAATATTGAGATATAAAACCATGTTCAGAACCAAGAATTATTACTGCTGTTGTTGCATTCATGTCAGAATGGACTTTCATACACATTACAACTGAGCTTAATATATCCATGCCATGCCAAAAAGCATCTATTCTTGATCATCACATTTAGTTTGTGTAACTAAGAGTAAAGATCTTATGTTTTTAATATATCAATCCAGACCAAACATACTAAGAGTGTTACTATACCACAACAACCGAATATTTGACCCTAATCTGACCCAACTGTTAAAGTGGGAATCAATAAAATATGATTGATTGTGATGTTGGTTGGGTATTGATCTTTTAAATTTTTAATACTGCATCTCATAACACATGATATCAATGGGTTACTAACCGACAATGAAGCCTGAATGGTGCAGATGGATGCCAACACCCTAGACTTCCACATCTCTTTGACCCTTTCCATTTAGAACAACTGTGGTGACATGACAGTGTTCTGCGCCATCCCAACAGTACATATTGTTTTACCAACCTATATAGACATGTACCATAGATTGTGTTGTGCCAAGTATGCCACAAAGATATTTTCTATATGAAATCATACTATTGTTACCACAATAGTAAATCCAACATTTCTATTCTTACTACAATAGTGAACATGACATCTTTTCTTCGGCTGTATGTAAATATCAAATGTTTCACTTTTGTAGCAGGCTCTGAAACTTCACATTATCAACTCTGAATTATAAAATTGTCCAAGCCATAACTCCCAGTCAAATAAAAATCGAACATGTCTTTTTATGCCCCATCTCTTGTGGGGATTGAAATTGAACAATCCGCTCACAGAGAGTTGTCTTTTTCAAAGACGTGATGATGCGTTGACGGTAATACTGCTTCTTGATATCTCTAAACTAATTGTAACTTTTATTAAAGAACATGTAAAAGATAGTTGTCCTATGAATAAGCCTATTGGAGAAAAGATATTTTCGTTTCTCCTGTCAGCATCAGATAGCCGCACTGCTAAAATTGTAAATTTGCATTTCGATTCACATACAACAATTAAATCTACCAATTAGTAAAAGCTTACTTGAAAGAATAAAAATTGCTTCGATATAGAAGATGGATTGTGCATGAGAAGATGGCATTCCAGGATCAGGTTTCAATCCAGCAACAGGTCTTTCGTGGTTCAATATCCTCTTTAATGTAACAGAAAGCGAAACATTTATAACCGATCCCGTTGCGTCCCACAAGATCTCGGCATCATGCTTCCACAGAATTGCGAGGCCAAAGAGAGCAGCCACTAACCACTTGCTCTGGAACCATAAAAAAACTGGTCAAAATAAATTCAGTTTAAAGAAAAATATGCCAGCAACATGGGTGCCGGAAACAATAAAATAGAAACATATAAGAACTGGATCACTTGTACATCTGAAAGCTTTGCACAAATAAATGTATTTTCCATATCCTGCTCAAGTGCAAGACCACAAATAAAATACTTTCTAGCGATGCACCAGATGCCATCAGATACAGTGAAATCAAGAATCTTATTCCAAGTCGCATCTTCTAACTGTTGAGAATGCTTTCCCTCGGAGTGTGAATTCGGTCCCTTCAATTCAGTGAATAAAGTCACAAAAGTTATAAATAATTGCCAGGTGATGAGGTCTCGAGAGCCGCTGCCTAACCCCATCATGGAGAATAACCATGGAGAAACATATAAAAGTTGGTACAGAACGATTGCTGAAAGCCTTGGAATCGGACTAACCGTTCCATTGAGAACCGCTTCGAGGTTTCTCCATGTAAAGTCTCGATCCAAGTTGAACGGCCCCGTCCGTAGCATCGCCTCCACCTCCCCCGGTGCAGTATCCTCCTCGATATCCTGATCGCTCCCTAAAGCTGCCAGTCTAGTCAACTCGGTCATGCTACCTCTGCGACCAGACACCGTTGACCTTCCGCTGAGATGGGATTTTGATCTTGATCCGAGCCGAGGGGTCAAAATTGGAATTTTAGAGGCGTGGCGCTGATGGTACGAGTAGGGCGAGAGGGGTTTCAACGGCGGAAGATCGATGGCGGCCGAGGAGGGGAGGGGGAAAGACGGCATCTTGTGGACGGGGTAGAGGTTGCAGCGACGAGCATCCTAAGGAAGGGAATAAAAAGAGGCATTTGTAGGAGTAGAAGGCATCCACAAATTTGTCTGTTTGGCGCATCGGAACACCCTTTCTAAAGCCGTCCACAGCCTTCCGGCCGAAGGGGATGTGGTCTCCGCCGCCCACCTCTTTCCCACGAGGTTTTGTTGTGTTAAAAATTTGGTTTTTGGTGGAAAATTCTAATTGAATACGTTCGTTTTAAAAGAATAATTACGTTTCTACTTTTACCTTATCCGCTAAACACACAATTACTTTCCTTCTGAAAAGAACACGTGGAACGAATTATGTTCTCACTGTCAACCCATCAATTATTACTTTAAAAGAAATATAAATTTATTATAAATATCAGATAATGTGGACGTAAAAATATTATGAGAATAAAGGATTTATGGTTCCAAATAATTATTCTAATTTATTAAACAATAATAAAGAAACAAAGAAATTTCTATACTGATTTCCTTTGGGTCCGTAAATAAAAGACACAAATACATTAGATAATGTCAATAGCATTTAATACCTACCATCAAATTGTATAATATTTTTTTAAATCCTTCGACACATATTGTTGTTGTTGTCTGAGGTGTCCACTCATTCTTGTGATATTGTAAAGCAAATGGTATCCACACACCGTACCACTTTATATATATATATATATATATATATATATATATATATATATATATATATATATATATATATATATATATATATATATATATATCGGGAGTAGGCTTTTGTTAAAAGCTTCTAAAAATACGGAGTGTGTTGGGCTTGCCTTCCGTCTTCTTGTCACGAATGTACTCGGCTAGGTTTCTCCGCGGATCATCTTAACACATGTCCCGCGCTTCTAGAATAATCTACCCACCACTATATATGAACCACTACCCCGAAGTTTTGAGAGAGGAAAGAGGGAGGAGAGCGGAGGAGAGGCGACATGGATCTTGAGGCCAATTCCTTCCTAGGAGATGGATGTTGAAGCGAACTTCTTCTCCTTCCTCCCTCCCTCCGATCCTTGAGTCTTAACCCTAGACGGAGAGATGGTCGGCGACGATGGAATGGCGGAGATCCTCCAACTCTTCTGTGCGCGAAGCAATTTCCATCCGGATCTTTTCCTATCGAGGTATTTGTAAAGATCCCCAAATTACAAGCCCTTGGATTCTTGACTCTTTCGCTTGTGATTTCTTTTGCTTCTGTTGTCACGACATTCGTTTGCAAGAATGTTGGCAAGATGTTGTTCTGCAAGAAAAGGAAATGGGGATCTCGAAGAGTATCTCCTCGAACCGTCTTAAGGGCACTTAATTAAACTTTATAATCTATACCGATCCTTGAGTCTGACCCCTGAATGAATAAGCGACATAATATGGTGGAGAGGTAGAAGATCCTCTAGATCTCCTGCGATGTATTGGTAAACATCTCCCAAAAGTAATCGTTCTTGTATTCTTGATTTTTTTTTTAATCTTGAGTTGATACGTTTGATTGTTGAACTGGTTCCTTTTGGTATTGCATAACGTGTCCAGATTGTTTGTGATTTCTTTTTCTTTTGTTATTAAGAATCCTAACAACTTCACATGTCCTTTCCAAAGATGTTGTTAGAATGTCCTTCGGCAAGAAAATGAGGATTGGGATGTGATTCATCATCCTAAAGGTTGATGAATTAGATTATAACCTTTACCAACTCACTTGATTCCTCTTTGTTTGTTGTTTGGACTTCTCTTGCAAGAAGTTTAGGTATGAAAAGTTAGTAATCGTCTGTCCCAGAAATTGATCATCTGATTCTTGTGGTTTTTATTGTCATAAATTACCTTTTGTCTGGCACTTCTTAGTGCTAGCCTAAATGAAATAGGTTATTTTGTTAACTAAATGACACCATCATATTTTCTGACCTTGGGATCCATTGGATCTTTAATTTGCTTGTTCCTATTCCTACCTTGGTCTCATCTTGGGGTCTTAAGACATGATGGTTCTTTCATGATCTCCTGGTCATGTTGCATGTTATGTTCACATCTGAGAATATAGAAGAAGATACAGGGTTATTCTATGTCTTACATATGAAGCTAGCACTGCTTGTGCTTCTTAATCTGATCCTAGTGTGATTATCATACTTTTATGCTACTTTTCTTTAATTATTATTCTTCACATGATGATCAAGATCATAAATAATGTCACCCCTTTGAATTTACTTTACATTTTGACATAAACAAATCTCTTCGATAAGTTTGTTTTTGTTTTCATATGTGAGATTAGCAATGTTGATCGGGTTACTATATCTTGATCAAGATGATATCGTATGTCTTATATTAGAATATGATCTGTGAATCAAGGTCATGTTGATATCTATCTTTGATTCCATTATGTAATAATTAGATTTGATTCTATTAATTGGTTTAAAATTAAGTAGCTAAGGAATGAATTATTTAGATTAGCCTTCATTTATAAAAAGCATGAACTTACCTTAAACTCTAGTTCATCATAAGTTTGAAATTAACTGATTATATATGTTATAGATACGATTGTGGATATATAAATACATTAGGACATTCTCGTTTAAATTGTACAGATTGGATATCCAGTCCAATTATAACTTGATTAAGCTTGCCTAATTTGGTTTCAATTTTAATTGACATGATCATAATAATTTGTAGTTATGCAAGCTAAGATGACACCTGAGTAAGTTTCCATTATAATCCTAAATAAATTAGGATATCCTCGTTTGAATTGTACAAATGCTATGTTTGGTCCAATTACAACTTAAGTCGGTAAGTCTAATTTGTGATAAGTCAATTTGAATTTTGAATGACTTGTGATCATAATGGTATTTAATTTGTGAACAGCATTTTTATTCCCCATGATAACATTCCAATTCAAAGATTCTTTTAATCAAATATTAACATCTAACTCTAGTCCTATGGCCTTCATAATGATAAATTTGGTCATGATTGATATCGAGTTCATTTAATTAGTAATTCTTTATCATGTCACATTCAATTATATTACCAGTTTTAATTTGTTGTATTTATGTGGTCATTTCATCCTATGTTCTGGATCAAATTATGTCGACATAGTTAAGATCAAGTAGATCAAAATTGATCATCCAAAGGTTTATTTAGCATCCATGAAATTCACAAATTTGACAAGTTAATATTAATATGTAATTAAATATTTCATTTTCACTTAATTAAATCAAGTGATGCTTTCATTTTAATCCAAATTTTAGTATTTTGACCAAGTTGATGTTTCCACATGAAGTTGACCCTCCAAGGCCACATTTTTAATTATTTGATTTCTTGCTTGTTTATTCTTCAGATTTTGTTTATCCGTTTTTATAGATGACTTGTTTGCTAAACTTTCCTCTCGTATTCTGAGTTGATATTTTAAGGACTAAGAAATATTCTAAAATGGAATGCTAGAGTTGGGCATGCTTCTTGATTTGATCCAACCATATTATTATACTTTTATGGTGCCTTTTCATTAGTTATTCTACATAAGATGATCAAGATTGTAAATAATAATATACCTTTGAATTTATAATTGATTTTAAGAGGCAATGAAATTCAATGACAGGGTTCCCCCCGAAAATGTTTGTACGATTTCCATTGTAAAATATGTACCTCCAATTTGTTCTTTTCATATAGTGGAACCATTTGTGAGGTCGATTATATGAGTTTCAAGATGAAAAGCTTAGACATTGCTGTTGGATAAGAGGTATGCCAACCGAAAGGAAGTTGCTTATAACTGCAAGCATTTGAAAAGCAAGATCTCTACTATCATATGCTTTGCAATCTAGACTTGAGGATCACTTGCACCACAATTGTCTTAACCTTTTTGGGTTGCTCTAATTGAAGCATTTCTAACGTCTAAAGATGTGGCAAAAAGCTTAAGGCGGAGCATCGGGGAAGACGTCAAAGATTAAGCTGCATTGACTTTGTTTGTTTATACATTGATTTTATTGCACTGGAAACAAAAGGGTCGAGGGGGTGAAATCCTTTGTAAAGGTTTGATGTGGTCAAGGATATCCTTTGTAAAGGTTTGATGTGGTCTAAGGATATCCGGTGGTAGGGCATCTTTTTGTTGAAATCAGGATCAATTAGATTTGACCATATTATTTGGCTTGGAATTAAGTAGTTAAGGTTTGACATATTTTGCTTAGTTTTATTCTTAAAGATTTTTTTATCACATGTATATTTAGTTGACTAAGCTTGGAGTTAGCTAATTAAGTACCTGTTATACATTTTTAGATAAAGCCGCTTGCGGCAGGCATGTCATACATTGTTAATTGCACAAAGGTTATCGCATATGTTCATAGTTTGAAGGTGAGCGAGCACATGTCGCTGGCGTAGTTGATGTGTTCAAAGATTTGGTGGTTAGACATTTTGATTATTTTTTGTGTTCCGCGTAAAAGTTATTATTTTTCACTTTGGCAATATTTTCTTAATTTTTTTAACTATAATTTTGTGTTCCGTGTAAAAAAATGTTCATGTGGATTTTGGTCGTCTCGTTGGTGTTAAAAAAGTAAGCCGAAGTGGACAACAGCAAAATAAATCGGATGTGCGTTTTGAAATAAATGTGTACCCCTAGGGTATCAAATTTTAATTTTGATGTATATAGGCGGAGAGAGAGAGAAAGAGAGAGAGACAGACAGAGGGAGGGTTTGGGTTGGAGAGGTTAAGGGAGAAGTTGAAGGGGAAAGGGAGGCGGAGGCATGGGGAGGTGAGGGACGTGGGGTCAGGGAAGGGAGATGCGGAAAGAGGACGAGAGGGTGGAGCCGGAGTGAGGCAGAGTGGAGTGGGAAAGAAGGGGGAGGTGATGGAAGAGGGGAAGTGGGGGAAGAGGGAGAGGGAGGCGAAGTGCAGCAGGAAGAGGGGGTTTCCTCCGTCACCTCTCCCTCCCCAGTCCCCTCCACCCCCTCACGTCACTTCTCGCGTCCGTCTCCTTTCCTTCTCACCTCCACCCTCTTTAGCTCCACCGCACTCTCGACCTCTCCCCTCCCCTCCCCTCCCCCGCCCTCTTTTGCTGTCACCCCTAATGTAAAATTCCAATCAGACATGATGCAATGTGAATTTCACTATATTCAACTCAGATTTGAAGATATAAATTGCAAGGTGAAAATAACCCAAATTCTGTAGCTGGCCTATCACCAAATGGTCTGGTGCAGGCATGACAAATGGTAGAACGAAATCATCAAGTTTAAAATCTGTTTCCACCATCTGATTAAGAAAGCAATTTTCCCCAAGCAGCAGGACTGAAATTGTGTGACCCAGATTGGAAACGTCTCTGAGCTACCTAATATAAAAGCACCTCAATCACAGGCTCACAAATATGTAATACTGCAGAAATCATAAATCAACTCATGATGTGGAAAAGATACCTTGACATACATAAATATCAACTCATGATGTGGGAAAGATATCAACTCACAAATATACCAGCAGTTCTGTTTATCTTGAGCACAACTAGTTCTAGAACTCGATGGCCATTCTTTCATGATCGGAACATGAGAGAACCACACGAGTAGAAGAACTAAAACTACAACAAGTGCAAAATCCAGCAGTAAGTCACATTTTTACCAGAGCTGCAAATTGAGTTCCTTAAAGAAAAACACAAGACATACTACTAGCAAGTCAGTGGCTGGCAGACAAATAGACAAAGAAAAACACAAGAGCTAAGGGTACATTACCGCTGGGTCATTACCAGAGCAAAAACCAGGATACTGACACAGCTTTTTCCCAGCTGCAGCTGAGAAAACAGAAAAAAATTGCAAACTGACCCAAGTTTCAATTGAGGATGAACCTTTACAATACGGAAACAACTAGTAAGATTAGGCACTATTTATTATGTACTTGAGCAAATAAGTGTTTTATTGCTCATCTGTTCTCACCATACACAAAATCTAGAGTCACGCCACTTGTATTGCGATAAGAGGAGTTATATTGCTTGTCTGATCTCACCATACACAAAATCAACCTTTAGTTTGTCAGGCCACTTGTATTGCGACAAGACCTACAGTGAATGGAGGAAACTACAAATTGTGCAGAAAATCCTTGTCAACATGACTGAAAGTACATGGATAACTACAAAAAATGTGTTGCAGATGGGAACAGGAGGAAAAATCCTTGTCAACATGAATCTTGTCTCAGCATAAAACTTTCAAGGATCACCTTCAAATTCAATTGCTTTTGCCGGTGCAACAACATATACTTGCGAAGATAAGGCTGATCAACCAGCTATAATTTCAACTAGAGATTCATTTTTCAGCATGCATGCAAGTTGAAATTCAACACTACTGGAAACCATTTTCTCCAATACTAACTTTCCACATTGGTCAATTCAACCACTGCAACATCTCCAATAACATCTAAGAGCATGTGGTTGGTCAGCAAACATCAATAACACAGAACACATTTGCCATATTACTAACAAATGTATTTGCTCTCTGCTATTTTGCCTAAGCATAAGAAAGAAGGGTGTAAAACACAAATATGCTGATTCCGTTCTTGGTCACCGTATGTGATAATTGTATATTTTAATAAAATAAGAAAAATAAAACCATTAGTTTTGACAAAAGACCATACACAAGTTCAATAGCTTCTTGTTTGCTAACCCGATCATAATACTCCTAACCCCACAGGAGAAAGGTTCTTCTCTTTTGAGAAGGTTGTGGATGAAGAGGGATTCAAACCCTCGATACTATGATTCATGGCGACATTGCACCTCCTAAAAAGAAACCAGCTTTAAGTTGTTTGGTTCAAACTTAAATAAATTTATGTTTAAGCACCTTATCCAACTGTCTCGTTTTGTGCAGCATCTTTAATCAATTAAATTAAATGGCATTTTGATTTCAGTTCAAACTTGAATAAATTTTGTAAGCTCCACTTATCATGCTGGCTTTTAGGTCCATATCCACCAAATCTCCCCTCTAGTAATCCAATGTTGGCACTGGACTGTGACATGTTCTTATAGGTCAAGTAGTAGCATAAACCATGTTAACCGCACTGTTGATATCTAATGCATCAACATGTACAAGCAAAATATTTACGCTCAGAAGCATTTTAACAAGGAAATAACTATTAAAATTAAATTTCTGTTTTAACAGTACGATTATCATCAAGATGATACCGTATTGTCATGCACTTAGCTAGTTTTGCCTAAGTCGTGTGACACCCTTGTATAGTTGTTCACAAAGGTCAACCTCCCCGAAACCTCCTATGGTCTCTTAAGACCTACAAAAAAGAAAACGAGTTAGAGAAAGCGTCTTACTCGGGATCCACAAGCAATCATTTCAGCAAACACTTTATTTCCAATGCAAATTACAAATAGACTTCACAAGCTCTGAACGGTCGCACAACAAAGGGTCCAAAATGGTCTACTACAGACCGAAATCCCCATAAGTGCTTACATGACACAACTTTTGTTTGCAAGCCTAGGATGACCACCAAAACCTAAGAAAATGAGGCTGCTAAACCTACTATCAACCCTTTACATGTTGTGCAAAGCATGAACAAAACCGAAAGACACGAACATATATGAGCATTACATCAAACACCTTATTTACAGTTTTGTCCGTGACAGTATGGTATCCTAATCTCACTTCTGTGGGTTGGGGTAAGGACTTATGGTTTAAAAGTTCTGATGAGGCAGGAAAATGGCAACTACCACAAATATCACATCTAAATATTCAAAATGATTCAAACATGCATATACATCCTTTAACAATAACCTTGTGATGGTTGACCCAAGATGACAATGGGTTTCTGCAAATTTTTATTCAAGGACTTGCATCAAGAAATCACTTTAGTTTTCATTTCAGATGCCAACTCAAATGTTGTTTCCAATGGAAAAATAAGGATCGACTTAGTAGACATGTTAATATATATAGCATCTTTGAGTGCCAAAGAAATCCAAGATTGCTATGCAACAAAAGTGACAGCATTCAACTCCAGAACTTGTATAGACGTCAGTAAGTGACAGTCATTAGAGCTATCTGAGCTATGATCTACTAATATATATATTTGTATTGGCTGATTCAGGGGATGACCCGTAAGAGATAGGAGATAAAGACTTGCACCTCAGAGCTCAGACATGCTCATCAATTTTCAGCATGAAGAGAGTCGGAAGGCATTTGATAGAATAATAATCATGTTTTAAAAATTTTTGTGGACATCAAGGAAATAAATTAAACTTAAAAAAAGCTAGGAGCAGGAATATAGTAGTAGTATCATTTGATAACAAACATGATCAGCTGAAACAAGCAAACTAATAAGACCAGTCATGTTATATTATTATACTGCATCTTAACTAATTGTAAGCAAAACTTGCAAATTTTGTCATGCAACTCTTGCTACAGACAGCCTATTCCAATCAAAATGCACTATTTTTCAAACATTCCTCTAATAGCAGCTAGAGAAAGACTTTTCCTAAAGCTTTTGTGTGTTTGCGTGTGTATACACACACACACACACACACACAAGTTCCATGGCTCATAAGACCAACTAAACACATTAAACAAGGCATGCATAGGTCAGATTTTTTGACATCTAATGTAGCAAATAGGTTATAACTACAGAACATAAAGAAGTTGAATAGCTTGGAAATATATGAACTTTACAAATCAAGTATTCGTACAGTCATATGCCGAAATCCAGCAGTATATCTATACAGCAAACGATATCTGTTAGTCGACAAGGAAACAGATACAACTATATTGGACCACCATGTCATATAAGAGAATAATGACCCCCTGGCAGTTCGCTTAGTCTCAATCAACTGAGACCCATCAAGAATGGAACATGTCAGTGACGAAATTTCTAGACAATAAGACAAGAGACAAAAAAACCTTACAAAGCACAGCTGACCTCACCTTAGTCTCTGGACTCGATGTTCCACCAAAGAACATCATCCACTATCTCAATCTAGGCAGCATAAAAATGACTACCAGAATTTCTAGATTCTTCCCAGTGTTAAAAAATTGGTTATAAATGAAAAGAAAAAAAATTGATGTGAAACTCGGCGAGCCTTTGGTTGAGAGGCGTATTAGACAGTTAGGTTTCCGCAAAAGCAACAATGCGACACATCTTATACACCCACACATGATCTGGGTTGTTGTTCCCGAACGGAACTGAATACAGGAAAACGATGACGACGAAGAAGAAAGAACTCCAAGAATACTAGCATGCTCGGCCAAATTTTGATGGTGGCAGTCTCCTAATCATCACTTAATTCAAGAACTCGTTTCAGTATGAAAGGAAAGCAAGGAACAAAGATGATCGAGAACAAATTCACCCGGAAGGATCAAACCCTATCTATAGGTGCCGCCGCTTTGCAACTCCCTGAAGCGATTCAATATCTCGAGATCATGGCTACCATCCTTGACGATCGACCTCAAACGCAATCTTCTGAGGGCGTCATTGAGATGATCGCTCAACTTTGGGGTTCGGGTTTTCGGATCGGGGAATTATAGAAGAATAAACAAGCACAACTCCAAGAAAAGTAGCACGCTCGACTAAATCATAGCAGTGTCATCCCAGATCTCATCAAATAATTCAAGAACTCGTCACTTCCGTCATTCAAGGTATCAAAGGAAGAAAAGCGAACAAACAAGATCAAGAAAAATTCACCTGAAAGGATCAACCTCATTCGGGCTCCTCTCCACCACCTTAGTGGAATCTTGAAACCCCGTTGCCCCGCCCCAGTCGAGGTGGCTATCGGTGATCTGCGGAAAGCCTCTGACGGACGAGGGAGGAAGAAGCGCTATCTTGAGACGATCAATGCTCTTGGGACTGGAGATTTCGGACAGGGAGACTGGGGGAGCGAGCGTCGGTAGGGATCTCAGGGAGGAAATGGGAGGATCGGGTGGCTATCAGTGGTCTGGGGAAAGACTCTGTGGGACGACGGAGGAAGAAGCGGAATATTGAGACGATCAATGCTCTTTGGGGTTGGAGATATCTGCCGGGAACGGTACAAAGTCGGTGATTGCGCATTTATACTAGAGCTATTCACGTGTTTCGCACATGCTGGAAAAGTAGGGAAGGGGGGAGACGTTGTCATGCCGCTTACACGACTCATCAACCCACCACCGCAGCCACCCATCCTATCCATTCATGACATCGGACACAAGATTGATATGGATTCGATGGTTCCGATGAATTCTGAGGGATTGGTATGACAAATTGGTTCCCCCGGAGTCCCCATTGGGAGCTTCCAGATTATTCGGACCTCTCCGCTCCCGGACACCAAAGATGGTGATCGCCCAATTATTACATGCCACGCGCCCCGACGCATATTACCAGGTGGCGAAGTTAGACGTCCTCGATATAACACCACCCGATAAATCAACAACGGAGAGAAGACACAACGACATCGCCGGCCTTCGGTTCGCCCCCGTCCATCGAAATCCACAGGTGTGTCCTTCGTTTCGTAGATGGATTCGCTCTTTTCTCGACCCTGATATTTGGAAACCTATTGATTGGTTACTTTTTTTTTTCTTTTGGACTCGTCGCCATCGAAATTGATTCTAACTTGTTGGAATTCGATAGAAAACCCGACCTAGTGCGGTAAAGATCACGGGCTTCGGCTTGTTCTTCGAAGCAATTGGTGCGTTTCTTTGTTGAAGTGTGAAAATTTTGTTTCGCTCGTGATGTTTGTCGAATCCATCATCGGCAGAGGAATAGATCGACGACTAAACAGAAGCCCTCGATCCCCTCGTGTTGGTAGGGAAGCCCTCATCGGTAGGAAAGAAGAGCGATGGCTTCCTCGGCACTGAAGGCGGTGGCGGAGAAGGTCGGCCCTGCTTCCCGCAAGCAGGCTCTGACGCTAACCGATGCTGCGGCTGCGAGGATACGCCACCTGCTCAACGTCCGTCAGAGGCTTTATCTTCGTCTTGGCGTCAAGGCCCGGGGTTGCAATGGTTTATCCTACAACCTCAACTATGCTGGTTTGCTCTCCTTTCCCTTCCAATTAACGTCTGCTGGCTTTTCTCCAAAAACGATTAAAAGATTCTATTTTTGTTATTTTGATTAATAGAGACTGCAAAATCCACCTTTATTATTTGACGGTGCTCCAATTTGTATTCTTCTCTCTGTCTCTATCTCTGTTATTTGCTATCTGCTTTGAGCTTTCTAATGGTGTTATTAATTTTTGGTTTTAGTTTCCTTAGAAATTCCTTTATGTAGAATCTTTTATTGGATTGTTTCTGTTGGTTTAGATATTTGTTTCAGTTTGCTGTGTTGCTTTTACCTCGTGTGTTGGATGATACAGCTTCCTTTGTCTTAACTGTTGTTGAAGACGCTCCATACAGATGTAGAACATTTTGGGCTTTATAATTGTCACAGGTATCTTTATTCCAAAGTCACGCATGTAGAATTATCAAAAGTAAACTTTCATTTTTATAGAGAACCTGAAACAATCATGGAGAGACTGCATACCTAAGTGAAGAAAACACAAATATTTTGTTGGATTATTAAGTTAAAAGCAGTTTGCAAACCAACCAAAATCTACCATTCTTGACATGTATGGTAGAATATCAAGTATGAAACCAGCATGTCCTGACAATTGCAACTTTCACTTGGACTTGTCTTTTCTTGTTGATTTTAGTTCTTCTAAGGCTATAAAACCATCAAGCATCTGCTAGTATGCTTTTAGATTAGCCTGTTGGTGGTTCTGTTATCATAAGAGCCTTGACGTAGTCGTTAATTGACTCATTAGTTAGTAAATTCTAGTTGTTTTCCTCCTTCCATTTATTTCCTCATAATGTTTACTTGTCTAAAATTTTTTATGATGGAGTTCGTATATTAGTCTCCTAATACTTGAGTTACAATTAGAGCCTTAGTGTAGTCTTCTGTACTATCACAGAAGTTAAATTCTGTGTTTTTTTTACCCTTGCTACTATTAACAAGGACAAGGCTGTATTTGGTGGGAGATATCTGAGCTCTCATTTTAGATTATTTTGGTCATATTGCAGTGGAATATCCAAATAACGGTATTATATAGGCTTCATGTTCATAGCATACTCTATTTTACTGATTGGAAGTGTCTTTATTTGAATTGTGCTTGCTCAATGGTTGATGTGATACGTTCTGATTTGCAGATGAGAAAGGTAGATTTGATGAGCTCGTGGAGGATAAGGGTGTCAAGATACTCGTTGATCCAAAAGCTCTTATGCATGTGATTGGAACAAAGATGGATTTTGTTGATGATGCACTCAAGTAGGTTTTACTTGACAAAATCAGGACGCTTTTCATTTATAATTTGCATCAATTTACATGGTGACATTTTGAGATCTTAAATACTTGATTACTGCTTGCAGGTCAGAGTTCATATTTATCAATCCCAACTCGAAGGGGCAATGTGGTTGTGGTGAATCCTTCATGACAAGAAGCAGCAGTCCAAACGTTAAACCAGCTGATCTATAGCATTACAATGGGACATCCGAAGGTGGAACCTACCCTTCAGGAACCGATGTTGCAGTTATCGTCTGATTTGATTGAATATGCAATGACACGAGTATTGTTTGATGATTCAGCGGATAGCTGATGAAACCAGTCTGCAGCTGATTTCCGATACAAGTATGCCACGGTGTGGGATTCTTGCTGAGCAGTCATCTAATTACTTTTCCTGTTCTTGTTTCTTTCAAAGAAGGAAAAAAGAATTGCTAGACATGATTCTAAGCAATTTGATATGGTACACACTGATGTCCATGATACTGTAATTTGGTGCTTGGCACCGCAGGAGCCATCCAAATAAATATACTATCTGGTTTCCCAATGAAATAATTTGGTCCGTTGATGGGCATTCAGCTGAAGCTCGTTCACCTTCAAACCGATCTAAATGAATCGTATGGCATGTCTGGCCCTGTTCCAAGCGATGCACGGGGAAGGTAAATCTCAATACCAAATCCGCCATTATAATTTAGCGTGCATCACTTATTAAGAGCAACGTACAGAGTTCAGGTGAGGCTGCAGGCATTCGAGCACATATATTGTCGCGCTTGGAGAAATTTGCGGGCTATCGAATCGCTAATGATTTTACAGAGCCAACGACGTAGCAATTATCTCACGTATTTTGTCCTAAGCTTCGAAAATGAACTCTGAAACACATTTGTAGTAAACAACATTCTCATATATCAACTAAATGACCAAAATAAGAGTACATTAGTGAAAGCAAGACTTGTTTCTGCTACAGTATCTCTTCAGTCCGACCAATAACCGTAGAGTGCAAGAATAAAAAGAGAGAGAGAGAGATGCAGACGGGACACCCAAGCTCCTCTTCAAGCTGACCTAACTCAATATCAGAATTTTCACCTCCAATCCGGAGCACAGGTTGCCGGAAGCTTTTTGCCAGTTGCAACCCAATAACCATGCACGGGCATAAGCAATGTTCACAAGAAGCTCCCCATGCTGACCAAATTACAATTAATCAGCCCCCCATTTCTACCTCTTATCTAATGCATATTGGATCGGTAGTTAGTCTCTTAGGGTTCAATACCAATATTTCTGGTTTACACAGCATTGCTTGTGCGTGATATCCTTTGTGCCTCTTCCAGGTCTTTTAGGAACCTGCATTTTCCAAAAGACATTTTGTGGATCATTGTTTCTGTACAACATGAAGAAACATTGCTAAGCAAATTACTAATTCTGAATGGGTCATGTAAGTTGCTTGTGTTTTCTAGTGATGAAATTAGTAATGCAAGGTTTGTATAACTCCTAATGCATGCCATTTTCCGCTGCACTCATGGTTTAATCAGGCATAGTTTCAAATCATTAGCATTCATGTTGTATACACCATAGCTATGATCAACACAAAAAATGGCATAATGTCTGACCATAAAATCTCCATATAAATACAAAATGGTAAACACATATATGCATGATACTCTGTAAATCTATTCATGTTTGAGAAATTAACAGCTTGTGGCATGATAAGTAATGTCAACTAGCAAACAAACTCGAACAAACCAGAAGAAAGTACATAGTAAGAATAAAATTCAGCTAGAAACCAATGCAATTAACTTACCGCTTAGAGTTGAGAACCACAGAGCCTCCAAGTATGAAACGTGTTCCAGAATTTGCAGCATTATGCAAAGCCACAGTCCGCGCCTCCTCATATGTTGTCCCTCCAACAATGAATATCACTACATCCTGAGGTCTGCATCACATAAGCAAAATAAATAATCCAATCTTTAAAAAGAAAGCAATCTTTAACAGTAGTTGGAAAAAACACTATTTTTCAGATATAGGTGCTCAATTCAGAAGTTGCATCAATTTAACTTGATGCAAGTACCAACGTGCTATTATAAAGGAAACCTGAAAAAAAGAGCAATTTTATTTTGCTAGTAGTAACTCATGCAACAAGCATTTACCCAGTTCAAAGAGCAAAAAGGACCTACCAAGCTACAACTAAGGATTAAACTACTAAATTAACCAAATTTATTGCATAAAAAATAGAGAATATCGAGCCATGAAACCTCAGGCTAACAATCTTCTCATACATATATATAGTGGTGGGGGGAAGTTAATCTCATTACCCACTGAAATCATCATCCATTTAAACTACCTAAAAGGGCACTCAGAACTCACAAAATTGTACCTTGATAGTTTATTATACTCATATTGGGAAGTCACTAATTAAACTTTTAAAAAATAAGTTTGAAACAACCAGAAAAACAGGAAAGTATATCCTATTACTGCTAGAAGTTGGTGAGGAGGTTCAGTCAATTATCTCGTTTCCTAAATTGATTAGGAAAGTATTGACAACCAGTTTCTTCAGTTCTATTCGATTAGGATTAAGCTGACCATATTTACACAGCTGCATAAATGTCCTTCAGCAAAACCACATAGGAATACCCTTTCCCGAGGAATTTCTGCACCAAGCTAGGAATCACTCATAATGTGTAGACTTTGGGATAATTTTGCCAGAGTGATGCATTCGAAGGCTGCAACAAGCTTGTCAAGCTAAATCATTCTCAGCCAAACCATATTTAGCCCTTTTAGAGGTAAAAGATAGCCAGGGTCAAATAGGCCTGGCTATGTACTGGACTGATTAGAGGTCTGGAATTAAGTCACATCATAACATAATTATAAACATTGCACATGGGATTTTAGTTTGTAATGTTATTGAATAGCTTCTAGAAATACCATGTCAATCCATCACCTGACAAAATACACAATAATTACATAAGTACCACAAACGAGAGATTTTGAGGATTTTATAAGTCACTACTCCAAAGGAATGGAAACCTACATAAAAGCTGGAGACCATCCACATCCATACATCCGAGAAGAGTGCAAACACAAGATGAGAGAACAAAGCAAAGGGAGAATCAAACAACACATCAAGTACCACAAACTTGAGATTTTGAGGATTTTAGAAGTCACTACTCCAAAGGAATGGAAGCCTACATAAAAAGCTGGCTTTAATTTAACAGTAGGCCTCAGTCAATGTATATATACCCTAAACTTGAGATTTTGAGGATTTTGCAAGTCACTACTCCAAAGGAATGGAAACCTACATAAAAAGGTGGCTTTAATTTAACAGTAGGCCTCAGTCAATCTGTAGGGTACATACATACATACATATATACATACATACATAAATATATATATATATATATATATA